AAATCTGGATATGAGTAAGTCTGAGTATGAGTAAGACTGTGTACAAGTACGTCTGGGTATGAGTAAGTCTGAGTATGAATAAGTCTGTGCATGAGTGAGTCTGTGTTCTGCATGTGTTCTTCTTCTCTGTCGTCGGCGGCATCCAAGAAAGAACAATAACTCCATCTTAGGATATGGGGAATGAAATGCGAGGAGGTCTCGGGCGGGAGCGGGGGTCCTGGCTAGGTTGTGAGGAAGTCTCAGGCGGGAGCCGTTGTTGTTGTAACCCGGGCGTTGAGCATCAAGACTTTCCCTGTCAAAGAACAAGGTGCGAGCGTCGAGGGGCACACTTTGATTGAGAAAAAACAGCATGCACCGGTGAGGGGGATCAACACTAATTATTCTTCAGCAAAGAGAATGCAACAACAACAACAACAACAACATAAACAACACCAACAATAAGTTTACCCTCATGTGCGATGCTTCCACACGAAGCATGCGACCATCATGATAACAATCCCCATCATGGGAAACTATTGCTCTATAGCGGCGTCCGTTGTTTCCATTCCCAGGTCTCTCGCCCTATGAGGTCTTGCAAACACCTCCTCCGAGGAATTTCAACATGTCCCGCCTCGAAAATGCATGCTCGCGCCTTGGTGCGCCGATGCGAGACCGCCAGTGCAGCCCCCGCCAAGGGTAAAGCACAAGGAAGTATCGAGCGACAGGATTGCCTTGGTGGGGATGGGGGCTGTCGGCCGCCAGGCAAGGACCTGGCCCTGAATAGAAAGGGAGGAAGTCTCGAGCAGGTCCGCTGTTGTTGCTGGGAGCGGCGCCAAATGCTGAAGAGAGTGGGGCGCTAGTCCAGCGTAAAACACATCGAAGTCTCGAGCGGGTACGCTGGTTTTGTTGGGACGGCGGTTGTCGGCGGCGAGGAGGAACACCGCCTTGAGTAAGAAGGGAAGAAGTCTCAAGCGGGAGCCGTGGTTTTGTCGGGACGTGGGCTGTCGGCGGCGAGGAACAGCACCGTCCTGAGGAAAAAGGGAGGAGGCCCCGAGCGGGGCCGTTCTTGTTGCTGTGAGCGGTGCCAACTCAAAAGAGAATATCCAGCGTCAAACGGGAGGAAGTCTCGAGCGGGAGCGCTGGTTTTGTCGGGACGGCGGTTGTCGGCGGCGAAGAGGAGCACCGCCTTGAGTAAAAACGGGAGGAAGTCTCGAGCGGGAGCGTTGTTGTTGCTGGGGGGGGCGCCGATGAGATAAAGAGTAGCGCGCCAGTCCAAGGTAACATGGGAGGAGGTCTCGAGCGGTAACGCTGGGTTTGTTGAGACGGCGGCTTTCGGCGGCGAGCAAAAGCACTGGCCCTGAGTACAAAAGGGGGAAGTCTCGAGCGGGAGCGTTGTTGCTGTTGGGGGGACGGTTTTGGCGCCCCCCAAATCCGCTCGAGCATGAGCCTCATGTGCAATGAAAATGTAGCCGGCGCCGGGGAGAGAGCGTCAAAGCGCCTGGGGGGGCTCAACAAGAATAATTCGTTAGTAGTTAACAGTCAACAGCAAAAACAGCAGCAACAACAACAAAAACAGAAACAACAACAACAATAATAATAATAAGTTTAAGACTGTTCGCCCTTATATGCTCGAGTGTCAAATTACGCGTATTTCCCAAACCCTCGATACCCGCCCTCTTCGTCCTCGATCGAACCCCTTATGGGGGGTATACCTTTCTTCCCTGCAGGCCGGGCCCCGGCAAGCGGCGGGGCGGCCGCGGACCGTCGGCCTGGCCAGTGGCAGCGCTGATCGGCGGGGCGGCCGCGGACCGTCGACCCGACCCCAAGAGGGACGGACAGGGGACCGACCACGACGACGACGACGACGACGACGACGACGACGACGACGACGACGACGACGACGACGGCGACGACGAGCGAAAGCGCGAGCGAGAGAGAACGACAGCAGGGCCACGAAGGGCACGAAGTAGGCCACGAAAGGGGACAGCGGGGACACGAAGGGAATGCGTATGGGGCCACGAAGAGCGCGAACGAGCGGGGGCCACGAAGTGCAGATAATGCGGAGCCACAGAACGCAACGATGGGGCCACTGAGGGTAGCAACTGGGCCACGTAGGACAGTGAGGGGGCCACAAACGGCGACAGCGGGGCCACGAAGGGCAGGCACATGGGGCCACAACGGGAACGACTCCTGGGTGCCTGGGTGTCGGGAGCGCGGCGCTTGGGCAAATTGCACGAAATTCCAACGCAAGGCCATTCTTCAGCAATTGGCAAGCAAGTCTCCAGCGAGAGCGCGACTCCAGAGCGCCGGGAAAGCGATTCCTTAATAAATTGTAAGACCCAAGCGAGAGCGCGATTCCTGAATAATAAAATGCGAGGAAGTCTCGGGCGGGAGCGGGGGTCCTGGCTAAATTGTGAGGAAGTCTCAGGCGGGAGCCGTTGTTGTTGTAACCCGGGGGCCAGGGGCCCAGTTTGAGCAGGAAGACTTTCCCTGTCAAAAAACAAGGTGCGAGCGTCGAGGGGCACACTTTGATTGAGAAAAAACAGTATGCACCGGTGGGGGGGATCAACAATACTTATTCTTCAGACATGAAAATTCAATCATTTTAAAACTATTCGCGCCTATCTGCTCACGTGCCAATAAATACGTATATCCCAAATCCTCGGTACCCGCCCTCGTCGTCTTCGATCGTACCCCCTTGGGGGCATATCTTCCTTACCTGCCACGTGTATTTAGTGCAGCCCCTGAAGCAAGTGAAGAGAGGACGGGTGAAGGGGGAGGGAGAAGAACGAAGCACGAGAAAAATTAACAGGAAAGAAATGGCAGAACCAGACGTGTAGATCGGGTGGGCAGACCCAAAGCGGGCAGGTCGGGAAGGCGGGCCCAGGCGACGAGATCGAGCAGGCGGGTTGCTGAAGCGTGTCCTGCATGAATCGCGAGGAAGTCTCGAGCGATAGCGCGATTCCCAAGTAAATCGTGAGAATAGCCAGCGTGGGCCACGAAGGGCATAAAATCCGAGGCCACAGAGGGCAGCGACGGGGCCGCTGAGGGCAGCACCGGGGACACGAAGGGCAGCGAGGGGGCCACAAAGGGCGACAGCGGGGCCACGAAGGGCATGCATATGGGGCCACGACGGGCGCGAGCGAGCGGGGGCCACGAAGGGCATTCGTTGACGGGGCCACAAAAGGCGACAGCGGGGCCACTGAGGGCAGCAAAGGGCCACGAAGGGCAGCGAGGGTGCCACGAAGGGCGACAGCGGGGCTACGAAGGGCATGCGTATGGGGCCACGACGGACGCGTGCGAGCGGGGGCCACGAAGGGCATATCCGCCGCCCCCTGTCGATTCATCGCAGGGGTGCCTGGCGTGCTAGATGATTTCGGTTTTTGGTTTTCGTTCTTTTCCAAAAGAACTCCCCCTGGGGCTCTGGCGCGTCCCGCCGGGGTCCCGGGAAGGATCTGAAAACGCATCCGTCGATACCTTTGTTGCCCCAAGTTGGCCCAAGATGGCCTCCAAGACGGCCAAGATGGCCCGCCCAAGATGGTCCAAGATGTCCTCCATGACGGCCCAAGAGGGTCCAAGATGCCTTCTAAATCGCACGAGAAGCCTCAAAACGGGCCAAGATGGCTCCAAGATGGCCTCAAGATGGCCTAAGAGGGTGCCAAGAGGTCCCCCAGGAGAGCCCGAAGAGGCCAAAATCATTGATTTTCCATTGGCTTTTAAATGATTCTGACATGTGCTTCTTTTAAGCCTTCCCCCTGTCCAAGACGGCCCAAGAGGCCCCAAGATCGCCCCCAGAGCACCCATGAGGCCTCAAAGATGACCCTATGACGGCCCAAGAGGCCCACAAGACGGCCCCAAGAGGGTCCCAACACGGGCCAAGATGCCTCCAAGACGCCCAAGATGGCCTCCAAGACGGCCCCGAAGCGCCCCAAGAGGCCCCAAGCCGGTTCAGAGAGGCCCCCAAGACGACTCCGGACGGCATCAGACGGGCCAGGAACCCACCAAGATGGCCGAAGTTGGCTCGAAGCTGGCCCAAGACGGCGCAAGAGGCCTCCAATAGGGCCTCCAGGAAGGCCAGAAAAGGTAAAAAGACAGTGATTATCCTAAGGCTTTTGAATGATTTTGATATTTGCTTCTTTTCGGCCTTCCGACGGCCCGAGACGGCCCAAGTGCCCCCAAAGATCGCCCGAAGATTGCCCAAAAGGCCTCCAAGATGGCCCCAGAAAGGGCCAAGAGGCCCCCAAGACGGCCCCAAGAGGCCCCCAAGACGGCCCAGGAGGCCTTTAAGACGCCCACAGGAGGGCCTCCAAGACGGCCCTGGAGCATTCCAAGAGGGCCCCAAATCGGTCCAGAGAGGCCCCCCAAACGGCTTCCGACGGCGTCAGACGGGCCAGGAGCCCACCAAGACGGCCGAAGATGGCCCTAAGATGGCCCAAGAGGCATCCAAGAGGGCCTCCAGGAAGGCCCGAAAAGGCCAAAATCATTGATTTCCCATGAGTTTTTGAAGGATTATGGCAATTGCTTCTTTTCGGCCTTCCGACGGCCCGAGACGGCCCAAGTGCCCCCAAAGATCGCCCAAGAGACCCAAGACGGCCCCAAGAGGCCCCCAAGACTGCCCAAGAGGCCTCCAAGACGCTCAAGATGGCCTCCAAGACGGCCCAAGAGCCCTCCAAGACGTCCTCCAAGAAGGCCCGAAAGGGTCAAAATGGCCTCCAGACGGCCAAGATGACCTTCAAGATGCCCACGTGTTCCCCGAAGGCTTTCCAAACAGATTCGGGGAACACATGGTCCGATAGCTTGGCTGGTCTAGCCTCAACGTTCGGCCACATAGGCGCTTCCAAAAAGGCAGGGGGTGGCGGTGATTCCCCGTAGGCGTCTTCGATAATGCGGGGCCACAAAGTGCAGCGACGGGGCCACTGAGGGCAGCAACGCTGCCACGAAGGGCAGCGAGCGAAGGCGACCGCGAAACCAGTACGGGCTCAGCGAGGGGCATCGAAGGCGGGCGAAGGGCAGCGAGCGGCGACTGCAGTCATTAACGGGCTGGTCGGGCGGGCAGGCCCCGACGGGCGGGTCGAGCGGGCGGGCCGTTGAAGCGTGAGTCCTGCTTGAACCGCCAGGCAATATGTAGCGGGAGCACAATTCCTGAGTGTCGAGGACCGGCATCTGAATAAATTGTGAGGGAATGTCAAGCGAAGCGTTTCGGTGGTAAGTTGCGAGGAAGTCCCAAGCAAGAACGCGAATCTGCAATAAATTGTCAGGAAATATCAGGCGCGAGCCGCGATTCGGAAATCCAGAGCGAGAGCGCGATTCTTCAATAAGGTGTGAGGAAGTATCAGGCGGGAGCCGTTGTTGTTGTTGTCGATGTAAACTGGGGGCCAACGACACAGTTTGACCCTCAAGACTTTCCCTGATAGAAAACAGGGTGCGAGCCCCTGGAGGGGCACTTCAATCGAAAAGATACAATGTGCACCAGGCGGGGGGATCAACAAGAAGTATTCTTCTGGAGCAAGAGTTCAACAACAACAACAACAACAACAACAACAACAACAACAATAACGGCCCTAAACCACAGCATGCCTGTGAGCACAGCGCCATACCTGATGGAAAGCTGCCCCCCCCACGAATACGTTCGATACCGTTACGGGGGAGTGGGCGGGAGCGAGTGGGGGGGGGGGGCCGCCCCTGTGCCACCGACGTTACGGGTTCAACTGATCAAGAACACTCTCCAGGCTGAGTTCAACATCGAGCGCCCGCGCTGGTGTCGCCGCCGCGTCGAGCGGCGTGAGCCTGCCGTGCAGTGCGACCGGATCATGAGGGTGCGCGGTAAGGATGCGGGGCCCCTGGACGCCAGAATGAGAGCCGAGGTTGGAAGCCCACGGGCCCCTGGCTGAGAAGGCCAGGACAAGCCGAGCGGCAAGGGCATATCCTTGGGGAGGCCCTCGGACGCTCAAATGGAAACCGACGCTGGAGACCCATGGGCCCATGGCCCATGGGCCCATGGACCCTCTTTAGCCATGGGCCATGGCGAAAGAGGCCAGGACAGGCCGAGCGTCAGGGGCATCCTGGGAGGGGCACTCGTCCCTACGACGCGATTTGACGGCACGCGCAGCCGCTCCCTCTGCTCCTTCTCCGTCTTGGCCGCCAGGATCTGCAGCCACGCCAGCACGGCCCACATGCCGTCCTTCCCGCGTGTTATCTCTACCGTCGTCGGAGGTGCCCGGGGGCGAGGAGATGATCGGACGACGACGACGACGACGACGACGACGACGACGACGACGACGACGACGACGACGACGACGACGACGACGACACAGACACAGACAACTCAGAAGACGCGGACGGCACAGACGACAACGACGACGACGACGACGACGACGACGACGACGACGACGCCGGCCTAGAAGACACGGACGGCACAGACGACGGCGGCGGGGACGGCGACCGGGGAAATCAAAAGGTACCGAAACCGCTACTCCCTGGACCTCTCCACGGGTGCGGTCTGACCAGAATTCCGAGGCGAATCCAGCGGTGGCAACGAGGGCCTCCCAGGAGGCCCAAAAATAGGGGAACGAACAATGACATAAATTTAAAAACTCGGAGGTCCGCACGGATTACGCTGGACCCCCCTCCCTGGCGCGCTCCGCGCGCCAGGGGCGGCGCCGGAGGCACCGCCAGGGGGATCCAGCGCGGATCCGAGAAAGCCGCGCGGACCTCCGAGTTGTTATGCTTATGCCAGCGCTCGCTCCCCCCCGAGAAAAAAGCAAACCAGGGGAGGTCAGCAGTATCGGTGCCTTTCCTTCCCCTGAGCGATGGCGGCCTTCTCCCGCACGTGGTCGGCGCCGGTGCCAAAGGACTCCTCGCCGCCTCGGCAGGCGCCCCCGCCGCCCCTTCCAGGGCGCGCCACCCGCCGGCCGCCAGGGCCCGCGGCGCGTCGGGCCGTCAGCTCGCGGGCCCGGAGGACCGCCCTGGCCGAGCCGCCCTCCTCCTCCTCGTCCGCCTCGTCCTCCTCCTCCTCCTCCTCCTCCTCCTCCTCCTCCTCCTCCGCCTCGCCTCCTCCTCCCCTCTCCTCCTCCTCCTCCTCCTCCTCCTCCGCCTCCTCCTCCTGGTCCTCCTCCTCCTCCGCCTCCTCCTCCTCCTCCTCCTTCTCCTCTTCCTCAGCGCGTCGAGCCGCGCGCGTCGGTAGTAAGCTCAAAATGGCCCGTGCTAGCCGATCGTCGCCAAGCCGATCGTATATGTCGTCCGTCTCGTCGCCGCCGAGCAGAGGGATCAGTAGCTCGAAGATGGGGTCCTGAAGAATGGGATCCTGAGGACGGGGAATGTAAAGCCATCCTTGGGCCCCTTCCTCTAGGACCCCATCCCTCAGGACCCCATCTTTCGAACAACCGAGAGCAGAGGGAGCCGATCGTCACCGAGCCGATCGTCTACGGTCATGAGCTCGTGCTTACCGTGTCGCGGCGGCGGACCCAGCGACACGCTGCATCCTCCGAGAGGATGGCGTGTCGCTCCGCTCTGCGGGGCGGGAGGTCGACAAAGGCTCGGGACGTTGGCGCTTGGGGACTGGGCCGTGGATAGCGTGTGGCGCCGAAGCGTGGTGGGCCAGAACTGGCGGACCGACACGCTAAGCTTAGGTCGGGCGTGTCCTCCTACAGGCGGATTTTGGACGAAAAATAGAAAATAGTGAAACAATGTTCAAGCATGGTCAAACATAGTCGGAAAAATCGTCCCCAGATTATTGTTTGACTATCTTTGAATATTCCTCCCGTAGAGGGACGTGCCCGACTTCACGCTGAGCCAAAGTTCCCGATCGTATGTCGTGTATGTCGTCGTCGTCGTCGATCGTCGTCTTGGCCATAGTACGGCTTCGTGCGCGTCGTCTGTGTCTCGGGGGCGGCCAAGAGGGGGGTGTCCAAGAGGGGGGGGCGCAAATCATGGCCGGCGGCACGTGCGCGGCCCAGGGGAGGGCCAGTGACGTATTGAAATACGAAGAGCCGCCATGATATCCACCCCCCCTAGTCATCACCCCCCTCTTTGCCGCTTTCGAGTGTCGTCTGCAGCCGCCGCCACCGGGCAGAGGACGCCGCAGGAGAGGGCACTGGAGGCAGAGAGGGGAGGGCCCGTGGCAGGGGAGAGGGCGGGCGCCAGAGGCAGAGGAGGAGGCCAGGGCTTGAAGAGCACCCAGACCTAATCTTAGGTCGGGCATGTCCCCGTACAGGCGGGTTTGGGACGAACTTTCAAAAAATACTCAAACATAAGCGAAGAAGTAAACACACAATCGTCCCCTGACTATGCTTTACCGTTCTTGCACATTCCTCATGCCCGACTCGAACCTGAGCCCATCCTCTAGGATGCGGTGACCATCAGAAGAACAGTGGGGCATCGGATCACTCATCCGCCGCCGTGACGGAGAGCACCGGGACTCGTCAGACGGAGGGGGCCCAGGAGTCCTGGCAGGGGAGAGGGACCGAGGAGGCATGCCCGGAGGGCCGCTGCCGCGCCGGTGGCCCCATCGAAGGGGCCCAGGGACACACCAGTAGATAGACACAAATCCAAGGATTCCCAATCTTGTCCCATATTCTCTGGAGGCTCCTCCTCCCGTCCACTTCTCATGTTATCCCACATCTTCCTGGGAATAAACGCTTATTTTTCCGTGTCTATGCCTACTTGTTCCTCCTGGCCCAAGATGGAAGCGAAGGCCCCGTCCCAGGCGCCGTTCGTCCCTCTTAGGCCCCCTGGGGGCTTCTCCCCAGACCTCTCGGGTCACGGAAAAAAGCACGACAAGAGGTCTGCTAAGACGAAGCCAGGACGAGAAGAAGTTCGGCTGAGGAGAAGTCGAGAATCTCTGAGATCCAGCCGCTCTGGAGGATGTCTCGGGTGCCGCATGCCTTCCTAGAGCGTTCCGGAACTCTCTGGAACGGATTTATCCGCGTCCTAGCCCTGTCCGACCTAGATCCCTCCGAGTCAGGAACAAAAAGATACGACGGGGGGCTTCTCGCTGTTTTGAGCCTCTGGGGGGCCATACCAAGCCCTGGGACCATCAAAACACAGGGCGGGATGGAAAAACAGTCCCGGAGGATGGGTCGAGACCTCTGGGGATCGAAGCTGTGAAAAAATCATGGCGTCGGGTGTCTGGGTCACCGCCATGGCTAGACCCGCGTCGAGAGACGGGTCAGAATTCGGCTTCTACTGACCCGGCTCAGTGTGATCAAATCCGGGCCCGTCAGGTTTTGCAGGATCCTCAAGGTCCTGCAAGCCTGCAGGGTCCTGCGCGCCAGCCCGGGTCAATGCTTCCCTGGCTCTGCAGGATCCTGCCAGATCCTTTGGACGCCCGTAATAAGCGGTACGAGGCGAATGGGTACCATGCCCAGCACAAAATGTAGTCCAACACCGACAGCGGCCGCTGTCGGGCAGGCGGCCTCCTGTCTCAAAAGGACAACGACCGCGGCGACGCCGACAGCGAACGCTGTTCAGAATGAGCAAGAACTGCTGTTGGACCTTGTACCCATCGTTTCCGTACCGATTTGTGGGGAGCCTATAAAAAACATACGCGCCCAACCACGTCCATGAGCACGACCCCCTAATCCACGGGACCGGCCACAAAATACAAACGTTCGCGCAATGCGCACTCTCGAAACCAACGTGGATTCATGTACGTGTGCGTCCCTCTCTCGCTGCTGAATTTCGGTCCTCCCGAAATCCGGCGCTCAGGCGGACCCCCGTTTGCATTGACGCGCGCCTCAAGGCAGCCCGAAGGCTGGGTACCCCGGGACAGGTACCCGTGGACCGACCTTTTGAACGGAGTTCAGCAGGCCAGGAGCACTGCCCGAGTTGGGGGAGGAGAAGGAGAAGTTGAGATGAGTTAGGCGCTCCCCGAAGATGTCCCTGAACCCCCTCATGGGCGAGGGCGTCGCCAGACTCGGTGGATGCCACAGGCATCGTCGTCGTCGTCGTCGTCGTCGTCGCATTCGTCGTCGTCATCGTATTCGTCGTCGTCGTCGTCACCGTCGTCGTCGCCGTCGTCGTCGTCGTCGCCGTCGTCGTCGCTGTGCTGAACGTTCCAGGATATCGTCTTGGCCCCCCGCAGATGAAGGGCGTGTAAGTTTTCTTATCGGGGAAGTAGCTGGTCCCGCTGTCCATGAGGTTCCCGAAGAACTTCCAGCCAGTGGGCACCTTCCCAGACAGGCCTCCTAACCCTCCTCATCATCACTCTTCTCCACCTTACCCTCCTCATCCTCCTCATCTCCATGCAGCTCCTCGCCGTCCCCCACTCGTCCTCCTCTTACTCCTCATGTCCGCATCCCCTTCCTACTGCTCCCTGTTCGCCTCCTCCTCATCATCATCCCTCCTTCGTCTCTTCCTCCTCCTCCTCCTTCTCCTCCTCCTCCTCCTCCCCCTCCCTCTCCTCGTCCTCCTCCTCCTCCCACTCCTCCTCCTCCTCCCCCTCCTCTTCCTCCTCCTCCTCCTCCTCCTCCTCCTCCTCCTCCTCCTCCTCCTCCTGCTCCCCTTTTTCCTCTCTCTCCTCCTCCCCCTCCTCCTCCCTCCTCCTCCCTCCTCCTCCTCTCCTCCTCCTCCTCCTCCTCCTCCTCCTCCTCTATTATCTTCCTGCTCCCGCCCCCGCTCCTGGGAGGCGCGATTGTTGGCATCATTTCCTGGCGCGTCATCCTCCACTCCCTCCCCTCCATCCCGTCCCTCTCGTCCCTCTCCTCATCCTCTCATCCTCCTCCGTTCCTCCACGGGAGCCTTCTTGGGAGGGACCCAAAGAGCCGACTTGACGAGGAGCCTTCATGCAATGACGCCAGCTTGGTCTCCAACCTCAGCCAGGCTCCCCAGAAACCGTGGCAGGAGGCGCGCTCGTGGTCGCCACACTCCTCTTCCCTCCCTCATCCGCATCCTCCCTCCCCCTGAGGCCGATCTTGCCAGGTCCTCCCATCCGAAAGCGTCGGTTTAAGATTCGGCAGCAGGTTCCCCAAGTTGCGTCGGATGAATTCCCTAGACACGGTGAGCCCGAGGGGGCACGCCAGAGGTCATGATAAAAAGAAACTCCATGGACTCGGACAGTGCCACAGGAACTACACAGCAGCGCAGAAAAAGCGAGACAGAAAGGAGGAGGAGGAGGAGGAGGAGGAGGAAGAGGAGGAGGAAGAGGAGGAGGAGGAGGAGGAAGAGGAGGAAGAGGGAAAGAGGGGAACGGTCCTCACGCCATCCCACTTGCTGCAATTGCAGCCGTGGCCAGTGGCCGCGCAACAGCCACAGCCGCCACAACTCAACCGCCCTCATCACCGCTGGCCGCCGCCACCTGCAGCTCAGCCGCCACTCTGCCTTCGCAACTCCTGTCGCGACCTGTCAGCGCACTCAGCAGCTCTGCCCCGATTCGGCTGGGCTCACCACCGTTTTGCCGCCACACCCAACAACCACCTCGGCCCACTCCATCACTCCATCCACTACCCCCCCCCGACAAGTTAGTCGCAGACCGCTGTCGTCGCCGTCTTGTCATCCCCTCCCCCCCCAAGGGGCGGCCGGAGGACCTAGCTACTTGCCCTCACAGAGGGGGTCATCCTCGGCCTCGTGGTCCCTGCGTGCCGCTCTTACTGCAAGAGATACTCTAGTTTGGCCAACCCCGCCAGGGGCGACAGCCCAGGGGGAGAGACGGCAGCGTCGTTCTTGACACCAGTGCCAGCAGCGACAGCGACAGGAGGAGGAGGAGGAGAAGGAGGAGGAAGAGGAGGGACCAGTGTAAGACCAAGGGTCATCAAATGTTGGAGTTAACCCTCCCTCCAAGATCCCTCTTCATAGGCCCCCACAACGGTTCATTTCCATTGAGGGAACTGCTTCGTTGGAAGACAACCGTTTGAAGATCCTGAAGCATGCCAAAACATTGTTCTCGGGATTTCAACGCCACGTGTCAACCTGACTGTTGCGTCCTGACGATCCCGAATCGCGCCAGAGGGTCATTTCTGAGACTTCAACACCGCGAATCAACATAACTGTTGCACCCGCATAATCCTGAATCCTTCCAAAACACCATTTCTGGGCGTTCATCATGGGAATCCGTGAAACTCTTGCACATTTTGAAGCGCTAGGGCGAGAGCCACATTTTGAAAAGGAACCTCCCTCAATCCGTGAAGCTCTTGCAAACTTTAAAAACGAATGCGCGCGGCGCTAAAGCGAGAGCCACATGTTGAAAACGAACCGCCTTCAATCCGCGAAACTCCTGCAAACTTTTACAACGAATGTGCGCGGCGCTAAAGCGAGAGCCACATTTTGAAAACCACCCACAATCAACCCGCGAAACTCTCGCAAATGTTTAAAGCGAATGCGCGCGGCGCTAAGGCGAGAGTCACATTTTGAATGCCACCCGCCCTCCATCTGTGAAATGTCTGACACTTTTTAAGCTTCAGAATCATAAATGGTGAGGAAATCTCAGGCGAAACGCCTGGCCCGCCCTAAAAACTGGCCTCGGGGTGCGACAGGGAGGAATTATCTATAAGGAGAAGGAATGGAGGACGAGGAGCCCCCCAGAACCCACTCTAATCTCCCAAAGCCCCAACCAGCCGCCAACAGCCCCAATCAGCCCCAATCTCCTCCCTCCCCTTCCTCTCTGATCCTCCCCCTCCTCCCCCTGCATGTCCCTCACCACCTCCTTCTCCTCCCACTTTCCCCCCCCCCTCCTCCTCATCCTCCTCTTCCTCCTCCCCCTCCACCTCCACCTCGTCATCGTTATCAGCAACAGCAGCAACAGCAGAAGCAGTCGCATCCTCCTCCTCCTCCTCCTCCTCCTCCTCCTCCTCCTCCTCCTGCTCCTCCTCCTCCTACTCCTCCTCCTCCTCCTCCTCCTCCTCCTCCTCCTTCTGCAACCTCGAAGCAGTCGATCTTCCTCTTCTTCGCCACGATGTCCAGAGCACCAGACGTCGGCATCGAACGCGCACAGCCCTTCAGGCCGTCCTGGCAGGAGACCAGCCGGTTGACGAATGATTGAGAAAATTGGGGAAGAGGAGGAGGAGGAGGAGGAGGAGGAGGAGGAGGAGGAGGAGGAGGAGGAGGAGGAGGAGGGGGAGGAGGAGGGGGGGAAGGAGGAGGAAAAAGAGTAGAAGGAGGAGAAGGAGGAGAATGGGGAGGAGAAGGAGGAGGGCGGTAATCGAGGACTTCTAATGCCAGCAAGAATGAGGAATCGGGACGAGAAGGAGGGCCAGCACGGCCGGCACACAGGAGTAGCACGAGCCCCCGCGTGGGCCACCGCGCTCAACCGCCGAGGCCGGGCACGACAATGGGGGCCACCGTCCCCCACCGTCAGAAGTAGAGCGACGACATGCCCAGGCCGCCCATGCATGAGACGCATGGAAACATACTACTACGATACGTCCTCCCTTGGAGGCGCGCGTCCGACCCGAACATGTAGTATACCCATCTTGTCATACATCGTTTCCCGAGCGGTGTGGCCAGAAAACGCCCGCCACGACGCACGTGCCGTAAAATTTCTCGGTGCGCGCGTCGCCCCAGGTGGGGCGACGCACACATAGTATTAGTATGTTAGGGTGACGCCGAATGCAAAGGGAATGGCAGGCCATCACCGCCTGCACCAGCCAAGCACGGAGCCCCGAAGTGGCACACGGCAAAGGCCTGCGCAAGGGCCTTCGGGCAAGGACCCCCGAGGAGGAGGGCCTGGGCACGAGCCTCCTCATGGGTCCGCACCGCCGCCTGGAGCTGGGACGGGAGGTCGAGGACTCAGGCCGCAAACGCCGCCATTCGCAGAGGCCTCCTGGATGGGGTCGGAGCAGATGGGGTCGGAGGATCGCGCCGCATCGCCAATACATCGGCGATACATCGCCAATGCATCGGCGATGCATCGGCGACATCGGCGATGTATCGGCGACCCAAACGTAGAGAAAATCGGGCCCCACATCGAGCCGCATCGCCGATGCATCGACGATACGGCGCGATCCCCCGACCCCATCTGCTCCGACCCCATCCAGGAAGCCTAGAAGTCGGGGAGACATAAAACTCGGGTTTGGGGGGACTCAGGCTGGCCCGACCGGGACATCATAAAAATGACGCGACCCAATCTGAGATCTGACGCGGGCTCCCGCTGCAGACATCCCACTAAAACTGGACCGTCAAAAATCAGGACGGGCTGGTCCAGAAGCGTAGGCGAACCCGAGCTCCGAAGCACTCGAACCCAGCACGCTTCCCTGAGCCATCGTCGCGGTGGCGCTCTGCTGCTGCCTGCCTCCATGGCCTGCGGGAGGTGCTCACTCTGGCCGACGCGCTCCCGCGTCTGCTCGACCTCCACGGCCTGCTCGACGGGCTCTGCCTGCGGCCCCATGTACGCCGCCGACACCCTGGGTGGCGGCCTTCAGCGCGCCCACCGCCTTAAGAGGAAGCCAAGACGAGGATATTTTCGGGTGAGGATGAATCGATCATCTCTGAGACCCGGCGTTTCTGGAGGATGTCTCGGGCGCTGCGGCCGTCTCAGAGCGGTCCAGAACGCTCCGAGAGCGTTCTGGAACGCTCTGGAACGGATGCATCCTCGTCCTAGCCCCGTCCGGTCCTCCAGCTCCTGCAAGTCTTTACCACGTCGACGCACGCCCCGCCCTGCACCGCGACGGAAACGTCCGACACAGCACCCTCGGCCGACTCCACACATCGTGCACCAGGGTAGCCACACGCCACAGCCGCGTCAGCACTCCGCAACAGCTCAGGATGAGCCATGCGCCGCCGAACCACCTCCGAATCCACGCCGAGTCCTTTGCGACGAAACGCAGCATCCTGAGGAGCAGCAGCACCACGACGATATCCTACTTCCTCACGAGAAGCAGCATCATGGGGAGCTCCATGAGCGGCGAGACCTCCAGGCGTGTCACTACCCGCACACCTCGCGTCCTGGGCAGTCACTCCCGCGACTGCGCCAACCAACGGCGCCTCCACGAGCTCGAACTCCTGCCGCTTTCTCGCTCCGCCCATAATGATCACTTCAACCTGCTCGTCCACGGGTGACGGCACCTCGCCAGCCCCGCGGGGCAGGAAGACAGGACCCCCAGCCCGCAGCGGCGCGCTCCTGCCCTCCCGCATTGCCTCCAGCACGGCAGCAAGCGGCCGCGGTAGGCTGGCAGCGAGCGGCGGCGGCGCGTGCCGCGACCGATTGCCAGACTCCATGGCCTCCACGCAGCGCTGCAGATGCATTGGCAGCCAGCCCAGCCATCGGACTGCCGCCAGCGCCTCCCCCATCGCCGGGAAGCGGTCGTCGATGCGATCCTCCATGGCCCAATGCTCAGCCAGCGCCACGCGCGTGAGCGAGCGCCCCCGCGCGAGTGCCGCCCAGCGCAGCTGGCCTCTCCCAGCGAAACTTCCGGGCCAGCGTCCTCGCGCCGGCAGCAACCCACTCCCAGGCCTCCATCCCAGCCGCTTGCGCGCGCCCGAGCGCTCTGGCCAGGCGCGCGCCGTGCGAGGGCTTCCCTTGAGCCAGCCCCCTTGAGACACATTGGCTTCAGCCAAAATTGCTACGGAGGAGGGGGGCAGAGGAGAAGAAGGAGTAGGAAACGGGGAGAAGGAGGAGGAGGAGGAGGAGGAGGGAGAAGGAGATACTTGAGGCTCAGTCCCCTAGTTCGCGCAACGTCAAAAAGGAGGAGAATATGGAGGAGGAGGAGGCGGAGGAGGCGGAGGAGGAGGAGGCGGAGGAGTTGGAGGAGGAGGAGGAGGAGGAGGAGGGCGAAGCGAGGACGGAGGACGGGGAGGAGGAGGAGGAGGGTATGAGAGGAGAGCAAGAGGAATTTATCTGGATTCGATCGAGGGACCCTCCGCAGAATGCTGACTTGGCCTGCCCGCGCTTATCCGTCACTGCCCACCACACAATCCCACTACTTCTCAGACATGAGCCCAGCGTCACGCAACTCGCACCCGGCGCACCTTGCGCGCTGGGCCTGGAGCGCGGTTCGGCGCCAGAGCTCTCTGCGCGCCAGGCTGGCGATTCGGCGCTCGATTTGCTCGTTCCGCGGCAGAGCCTGCGAAGGGAGCGGAAATCCGAGCGGGCGCCACAGACGATCCACGCGGTCGGTCGGCAAGTCCATCTCGGCGAAGGAATGCGCCAGGGCGCCTCGGGCGCCGACGGCGGGCGAGGCGTCGGGGATCTGCGCGGAGACCCACGCAGCAGCTGCACAGTCGCCCTGGTCATCGGGAGCCGTCTGGGCTCTCGTGGGATCATGCTGCGTGGTCTCGGGTGGTTTCGAGAGGTTTGGCGGCGAGTTGTGTGTGATGGTGGCGCGACTTGCAATTGTTTAGCGGGGCATGTGACACGCCCGTCTGAGTGTTATGCTTATTCGCGGCTATGGTGGTGTCATTCCTGTGCGATTTGGGGTACTTTGGGGTTTTGTTTGTGCTTGGCGTCGGTTGGTGCTTGTGCGGATTGAAGTTGGAACTGTCTGGGGCTGGTAGACACCTTTTGGGAGATCATGTTGGTGCTATTGCGAATGAAAAGGACCGATGTGGGTCTTTCCCTTTGTCACTAAAAAGCCGCGGAAAAATCGCAATGCGCAGATCAGATCCAGCCAATGCTTTGCGAGTACCGCGGGTTCACGCAGGGCCATCTCAAATTCAACGCAACAAAGGAAAAATACGCGTCAGCTTGATGGGCCTCCTCTTGGAAATTGATGCGTATAGATGCGAACATGAAGCTGGACGTCACCGTAAGTCGTACACTTGGCGTGTGCACCTAGAGTTTTGGCAAGGCCACCCCAGAGGACCCCTGGGACACCTAGGATTGCCCCAGAACGCTTCAATGCGAGTTAGGCGTCCAGGACTCCACACGCTCTGCAAATAGAGACGACATGCTTCTCGTCAGGTGGGGCCTTTGGAAGACGCTTCTGGGCGCAGGGGGTCAAACCAAAACGGTTCAGAATGAAAAGCTGGCCCTTGGGAAGAGGACGAGGGGGGCATGTCTCAACGAAAATCGAGACGCAGGGTGTATGGGGGGCCACGTGCAAAATCATCCACTGCACAATTTTAATGTTCACCCAAGTGCGCAGACGTGGAGCAACATCCACGTCCCGATCAACACAAGCAACCAATCGTCGACCTGCCGACCGTGAGTCTGAGTGTAATGTCGTTGGCTAGCACGGGCGCACCTGCTGCGCCAACAGAAACAAAAGACCAGCACAGCTGCAACAGTTGCGCTAACAGTGACGAATGTATATGCTGGCCAGAACGCGGTGTTAAAATCGGCCAATCGAGGTATCTCGCGCTGGCCATGCGAATAACGGTACAGTAGAACATCCCACACACGATGAAGAACATCGTATGTTGAGCAAGGTGGGGCCACGGCAGAGAGGTGATGTCATGTGCCTCTCACCACTGGCCAAGAATTAACATCCAAGCTGCTCGCGTTGCCTGGACATCGCGATCAGCTCACTGGACCTCAACGGGATGGTCAGGTTTTCCTGCTGAACTGTGCTGCGCCGCCATGCTTTTGGGAGATGGCGCAGTTGATGTCCGCGTCAGGCGGTAAAACACCCGCCTGAGCATCAGCATGCAGAGGCTGTAGAGCATTGTGCTTGTGGGCTGCAGCATCTGCTTCCTTCGGCAAGGCAGCGACGTCATCTTGTCTCGCGGCTGGACTCTGAAGCAAAACGCCCCGCCCGTCGGACTTGGGGGACAAACAAAAATACATCGATACCGATGCTCCCCGGACCACTCCTGGGGTGCGTTCCGACCAGACCTTCGAGGAGGGTCCAGCCATGGCGGCGAGGGCTCTCCAGAACGAGCAGCGGTATCGGTATCTCTTCCGCCTCTGACTGAAGCAAAACGCCCCTCCCGTCGAAATGAGCATGCCCAGTCTGAGCATGAGTCCGCGGGTGAGGAAGACACCTCGCAATCTCCATGGCGGGCTCCGTGGACAGGCCCACAGCACGGCCACCAAAACCGCTCAAGGCTGGCCTCCGGAAGAGGTTGGCCAGTCCATCGAGGGTGTCGGCTGGACTCGAGGAGCGCTCGCCGCAGCCTTTCAAATTTGACATCTCTTTGGGGGCAGCGTCAACACGAAGGAGGGAAAGACACCGGGCAGTTCCTTCACCGAACGGTGCGTGAGTGCATCCGCCGTGTCACCGCCTCCGCTGAGCTCTGAAACTATGCGTCCAGCAGGAGCTTGCGCGCACTCATATCACTGATGTAACCGTGCCTAAGGTGGAAAATGAAGCGGAGGGGAATACTCTTGAGTATAACCGTCGTAGTCGTCCACGCTCATGGCAAAGACCATAGCGAGGATCAGGAAGAAGCGCTTCCAGGCGCACAACTCAGGTAGAATTCGTCACCCCTGTTCATGCTCAACTACAACCTATTGTTGTGATTATCGATATGTTCCTACGCAAACACAATCAATCTCCGTCGCCTGCTGGCGCCTCAACTTGCACAGCCACCCTCCGGAAGGCCAGTCCTTCAGTTTGGTGATGAAAGAACCTGGAACAGCCACATCGTTTCGTTAAGAGACATCTTGCGGTGGTCGCACTAGATCCCCAAAAGGATTTAAGGAGCAGAATAGAAGGACGAGAGACGGAGGAGGAGAGGACGGAGCAGACGCAGCTCGAGGGGGCGGAGAAGGACGAGGCAGAGGAGAAAGAGGAGGAGCAGAAGCAGGCAGGGGGGACCTGCACTGATGGCCCTGGGGCGACTCCACCTGTTGGTGGGCCCAGCTTCCCGGTGTCACCAGCCCGGGAAGCGCAGTGGTCGCAGGCGCCCATCATGGTGTACACTCGGGGCCAGGGCAACCAATATGCAAAACGAGGGTGCGCGGCGCTGGCTCAGTCCACATGCCACGCCATGCCTGAAGCCTTGAGGGAAGGAGGAGAAGGGGGGAGGAAAAGAGGAGGACGAGGAAGAGGAGGAGGAAGAGGAGAAGGAGGAGGAGGAGGAGGAGGACGACGACTGTAATAACAGGAGGAGGAGGAGGAGTGACCAGTGTCCCGGCGGCTCCTGGGACTATCTGCTCTGCTGGGTCTGGAACTGCACGACTTTGCGCGCACGTGTGAGCGTTATTATCACTCTTCGCTCCTCCCCCTCGCCCTCTTCGCGCTCCTCCTCCTCCTCCTCCTCCTCCTCCTCCTCCTCCTCCTCCTCCTCCTCCTCCTCCTCCTCCTCCTCCTCCTCCCTCCTCCCCTCCTCCTCCTCCTCCTCCCTCCTCCCCCACCTCCCTGCAGTGACCTTGCAGACCCTGCGATGACGCTGCAGCTCCCTGCAGTCTTCCCCACCCCCAGTTCCTCCGCCCCCGTGCCACCCTCCCGGCAGAAGGCCCTCGAGAGGCCGCCGAGAAGCCCGAAGAGGCCCCCAGGAGACGACGCAACGGCCCCGGCAGAGCCGCAAGATCGAGGAACTTGTTTTACGTCGCAGCGCAGCAGGGGCAACCCGCACGCGCGTCTGGGCGAGACCGGGACGCGGCACCGCGAATTCACCCGCATGCAAAGAGGGGGGCGGGAAGAGAGAGAGGGCGGCCGCGGAGAGGGGAGCCGGGCAGCGGGCGCGGGGGCACTCTCACGCAGCGGGGCCGCGGCGAGCGCGCAGGGGGCGGCCGGGCTGAAGGGCAGCCCCTGGCAGCTGTCGCGGGGCGGCATCGCGGAACAGAAAGCTTCTCAAAGGCTGGGGGACTTGAGAGCCTTCTGAAAAGGCCAGCCCCCTCTCACTCCCCCCCGGCTCGCAACCGAGTTTCTTCAACGACAGACGCGTGACGGTGTCGTCGCGCAGCGGAATCGGGCCCAAAGAGAGGAAAACAAGTACCACACGAGGCGACCGCTGGGGGACTGCAAGAGAAACTACAGCGAGCTACACTCCTTTGCTCATTGCAGCAGGCTGCCAACGCGTTGCTCGTGACCCCCTGGTGGGCCTCTTGAGGTTTGGGTCAGCCCCCGTGCCAACCAGCCAGGATCGAATTGACGCCAGTAAGCACAGCTCACGGATTCGAAGCAGCGGCCTGAACATCCAGACCTCTTCGCCTTCACGGGCGAAGCAAGGCCAGACAACTTGGCCGTGGGTCCTCCAAACCTGGCAACCTCGAGACCATCGCGCGGAACAATACGGCATTATCAAAACATAAGACAACGCGATCCAAGTTCTCTAAGAGCCTGTTTTTCATTATTCGCGATAACGGGCCTGATCGGGGGGGGCCCGATAACATCACGGCGGGTTTCGGCCTCCCGGGGCCTTTTTCGAACCCCCGGGCCCTCGGGAGGAGGAAGATAAGGAAAAGGGAGAGGGAGCAGAGGAGGAAGAGGGGATTGAGGAGGAATTCCTGGGAACATCTTGAGATTATGCTGCTCCTCCTCCTCCTCCTCCTTCTCCTCCTCCTCTTCCTCCTCCTCCTCCTCCTCCTCATCATCATCATCATCATCATCTTCCGCCTCCTCCTCCTCCTCCTCCCTTCTTCCCTGGTCGTCGTCTTCGCCGTTCTGCGCAACTCTTCCCCGTTCGTCGTCTTCCCAGTTGATCGCGATGATGCTGCAAGTTCTTACGCAATTCTTCCCTTTCACGCGCTTCCCGCTCATGTCAGGAAAGGTTTGAAAAACGATCGTTTCGCCTGAGACGCCTCGCCAAATCGTAAAGTTGGGACTCGTATCTTAAGACGTATGTTGCTAAACAAATGGGCATTTCGACTGAGACATCCTCGGAAATGGGGATGTTGAAATCGTCGGTCGAATTCGCGGACCTCCAAAAATGAGCGTTTCGCATCAGACTTCCTCGGAAAGATGGGATGCGCCAAGCGCTCTTGTAAGGCATCTTTTCGGAGCGACCACGGATGACCTCCAAGATGGCCCAAGCGCTTCGCTTAAGAATCAGCGTCTCGCTCGAGACATCCCTAAACATATCCTTCGAACGGGCCCCCGAAAGCATCTGGGTTCCTCCTCCTCCTCCTCCTCCTCCTCCTCCACCTCCGGGTCGCGGACAACAGTGACGACGACGAATTCCTGGGAAACTCTTGAGATTTTCTTGAAGCCCTGGAAGATTCCTTGAGATACATGTGGGAAAAACAACGCGACGTGATCGGGGGGGGAGGGGCGGGGGCGATCACGAGCGTGATCGCCCAGACTAAAAAAAACAGGCTCTTGATGGCCCACACCAGAGGCTCATCCACCCGATTGCCAGGGTTCCTCGCTGTCGGGCGCGTAGCGCGACTGGGTGGAGTTTCAAGTTCTAGCGCTGCTGCACCCCCTCATGACTTTCAGGGGAGGAACAAAAACCACCGCCACCTACATTCCATCGGAGGGAGGCCGACCCCTGGGCGTTGGCACGCCCAAGCGTCACCCGGTACCGGACGACACTTAGACTTGCCACCGACCAGGGGTGGCCCCCCCGATGAGTTCTCAATGGCGGTGGTCTCTTTTCTGGTTAGCATGGCGGAGGTCCTGAGGGAAACGGGTCCTGGACCCCAGCACCTTCCCCCAGGACGAGTCCTTCGCCCTGAGCTGTTTCCTGACAGTCCTGGGGCCCGTGGAAGGCCCCGAGAGCCCGACCACGGTGAAGAACCTCAGGACTCTTTTCCCCCAAGACCCGTTTCCCCCCTGGCGAGCTCTCTGTGGCGGCGGTCTCTGCCTCTCCTCTGGACCTTCTGGCCGAGGGCACTGGGCCTGGAAGATGTCGCCGGGGGCCCCGGCAACAGGAGGCCTTGGCCCCTCGCCGCCGTAGGGGGCCCAGGAGACGCCAGTGCCGCGCGGTGTCCTTGAACTGCGGGATCATGTCCGAGTTGGCCACGATCATCGCGAGCGAGTCGGACGGCGACCTCGGCCCAGACCCGGATAATCTTCACAGCGCTGGAGGCGCTTTTTCCCCCCGTTTTCACGCTCGGTGGCCTCTGCCCGTTGTGGGGCGCCGCTCTTGCTACGCCTTCAGACCCAGGATCGGCCCGTGGCCCACCTGCTCGTGTTCCTTCCGCTCTCAACATCACGCGCTGCCGGGAATCACAATGCCGCATGCCGGACGTCCACATTCCAGGGTGTCGTTCTTAGAACGTTCTGGTCCAGTCAGCGCGAAAAAGTGGAGAACGTAAAAGCACGCCACCGGCGCCCTGAAGAACAACCATCGGGGATGGACAGAATCCCGTTCGAAAAGCGTGGTTTAGTGAAGACGACGTCGGGCCAAAACCTGGCGGGCGCAAGCCTGGAAAATGACGGCCGCGGCGCCCTCTCGAGAACCGAAAACGGACCGTTCACTCATCGACGTTTCAGGGTGGGGGTTCTGTCCACCCCCGATAGAGGCCTCCTCGGTGGAGCCTGGGCTGATGGGGTCGAAGGCTCGCGCCGTATGGTCGATACATCGCCGATGTATCGCGGCGACGTCGGCGATGCATCGGCGACGTCGGCGTGGGGAAACACGGGCTCCACATCGAGCCACATCGTCGACGCATCGGCGCTGCGACGCGACGTGTCAGGGTGGGGGTTCTGCCCACCCCCGAAACCAAGGACCCGCACACCGCAGCAGAGAGTCGGACGCTCGGAACCTACGGAGCTCGCTCTCGCGACCGGGTGCGCGCGTGCAGGAGGTCCGCGCGGGTTTCTCGGATCGGCGCTGGACCGCCCTGGCGGCGTCTCAGGCGCTGACCCTGGCGCGCTCCGCGCGCCAGGGAGGGGGAGAGCATGCTACGCGTGGAATGAAGTCCATGGAAATAAATTGCAGTGGATCCGTGAGTGGATCAATCTAGATTGATGAGGCTATGATGCCTCTTTTGATTTCGAGCCAGCTATGATGCCCGCTCGTGCCCACCCCGTCCCGTCTGCAGGGACTTCGCACCCCCCTATGATGGTAAGATGGGAAGACGGGCCGCCGCCCCTGGCACTGCACGTACGGTGCCAGGTTTGTGGGGATTTGGTTCGACCCCCGCAGTACCAATGATGGAAACTGCGAGGGGTGTGAGGCCTCATGGTGGTCCTCACTGGCAAGGCCCATGATGGTCCTCACCGGGGGGGGAGAGGGCAAGGGACGACGTCCACCAACAACGTCCGTCGTGAAATGCACTGTGGCCACACTCATGAATCAGAAGACCGTGACATTCACGAGCACGACCCGACCTATGATTGCGGACTCCGCGAAACGCACCGTGACCACGCTCATGACCACGAAAACCGTGAAATTCACAAGCACGACTCGACCTATGATTGCGGACTCCGTGACATGCACTGTGATCGCGTTCATGATCACGAAGATCGTGAAACACACGAGCACGACCCGACCTATGCTTGCGGACTCCGCGAAATGCCCTGTGACCACACTCATGAACAAGAAGACCGTGACATTCACGAGCACGACCCGACCCGAGCGCCGATCCGAGAAATCCGCGCGGACCTCCGAGATTTTATGCTTATGTCATTCTTCGTTCCCCTATCCAGGGAGGAGAGAGTTCGGTGGCAACTCATGGGAGCCTCCCATACCATCTTGCTGGCTCCTGCGAGTCGACGCTGATCTACACGGACTGGCACTGCATCGACGCTGATCGACGCGAAGTTGGCGCGAATCGACACTGACCGACGCTAAATCGGCGCTCCCTCATCGATGTCCAGACGCTCATCGACGCTAACGCACTCTAACGACGGAATTATGAGGGTGCACGAGGCTCCCACGATGTACGACCGAAGGAAAGAGGAGGGGGAAGGGGGGCGAAAAAGGAATGTTTGTCGGGCAATGCCTGCTGTGCTGAGCTCGGCCTGCGCGGCATACTACCTGAAGGCCGCGTGCGCACGAATGAATGACTCTTCTCGCTGAGAGGATTTGTCGGGAGGGGGACTAGGGTAAACTCGGAGGGCCCGTCTGGAGGAGAGGAGGCGAGGAGGCAGCGTAGACGGCTGGAGCCGACCACCTAGTTGGAAAATTCGGGAGCGCCGCTGTCGTCCCCTCGACCCTCGCCGGAGAGATCCAGGACGTCCCCGAAACGAGTCAAACGCGAGCGCACCTAGCGGCACGGGCCGATCGTCCGGGAGCGACTGGCCAATCCGAGGGTTTCGCGACCCCGCCAAACGTTTGAGTCGGAATGCAGTGGCCGAGCCTCGCACAACGCCTACCGAGCAAGCCTTCGTAGGCATTCTCGCGAGAACGTAAATAGCGAAAAACAGCTTCAGAAAAACGGTCCACGCCAGAGGCGCTTCCCATCAATTCTCGCGAGAATCCGCCGGCCTGGCTGCGGGCGGAAGGGCGTGAGAGACATTTGGCTGTCCCCCTCCTCGTTTCCGCCTCCACCAGGGTCCAACATCGAGTTCGAGGAGCGGGGGGACGGGGGAGGTCCCCGGGCTCCCCCACGCACCCCTGGGGCCTCTGGAGCCTGCAAATCCACCCTCCGTGGCCGCTAAGATCCCAAAATGCTTTCTAAAATGACTCCAGGGGAACTCCAATATGCCGGAGAGGCCTCGAGAGCACCCAAAATAGCCTCAAGACGGCCGAAGACGCAAGAGAACCCCCCAGAGGGCCTCACGAGGCAAAAAAAAAAACATGGATTCCGCATACGCTGTTGCATGGTTTTCGCGTTTTCGGCTCCCTGGCGTCTGCAAGCTCAACACCGCCCAACAGGCGCCCCGGACTGGCCCGAGTCGGCCCAATAGAACCTCAAAACGGCCCAGAGACGGCCAAGTCGCGAGGCTCAGATCGGGATGCACTTGGCGAGTCCACGCCTAAGGTTAGCAGCGCAGCCATCCTTGCTTCCAGTTCGAGCATCAGAGAAGGCATAAAGCAGCAAGTTCACAAAGATACGTGAAAGTATGTCTCGGCCGATGTACCCTATAGCCACGCGCTACTTCTACATTTCGCGAGAAGGCCCCAATTGGCAAAGGCAGGAGGGAGGAGGAGGCTGAGGACGAGCAGCAGCGAGACCAGAGAAAACCCCAGATGCATCAACGATGCTGCAATATACCCTCGCGTCCTAGTTCCCTCCCCACGGCTCCCTCTGTGCAACCATTATTTTCACTGTGCGAAGTGCCCCACCTTGAAGATGATCGCCCCAGAGGCTTTCAGTTCGGGCGACAGCTTCGCTTTGAAAGCACCCTCCTCCACCTTCAAGCTATGAGCAATCCGACAAGGGGGTGGTTAGAAATTCATGGAAATGCCCACCGACAACCCCGATCTGTTTTTTTTATGCTCTCGCTCCGTGAAGCCGTTGCACAACGTTTCCCTTGAGGTGCTATGTGTCGAAGAGATCTCTGGCGGGAGCCCCATCTCAAAACGAACCGGCCTCCGTCCGTGTAGATGTTGTCTTCTCCTAGACGAGCGTGCGCGGCGCAAAGGCGAGAGTCCCACCATGGAAAGGCATCGCCCTCCATCCGTATAACTCTTGGGGATGTCGAGCTTCAGTGTCGTAAGCGGTGCGGAAGTCTCAGCAGAAACGTCCAGCCCGCCCTAACAACACGTCTAGCGGTGCGTGCGACAGGGAAGAATATTGTAAGGAAAAGGGGCTTGGGAAGAGGAAGCGGAGGAAATACGAGATTCCTGCGAGTGTAATGGAGACGAGCAGCTCTCCAGCCCAGACCACGACTCGCGAAGCACGACTGGTTATCCCCTCGCCCCTGCGGGTGACCCGAAAAGGATTCGCCCAAAGCCCGTTCAAAATCGGTCCCCGGACCTCTCCTGGGTCTATCCTGACAAGTGTTCCTGGCCGCGTCCAGCCGAGGCCACGAGCAAACAAAAACGAGGAGAACGAGGAACGAGGACTCTTCGCTCGCAGCAAAGCCGTCTCAGCGCACCCGCGAAGGACCTGCCACTCGCTGCAGCGGAGATCTTCCGGCCGCTCGGCGGGCCTCCCCCGGGCGAGGCCGCGACACAAAGAACTGGGAGCTCAGGATCATGTTGCGGTCGGCGTCGCCGTCCGCCGCGGCGCCGAAGGTCGGTGGCGGAGTGGAGGTGCTGGCAGCGGCTTTTGGCTTCGTCTGCCGCCATCGGCAACCACGTGCGAGCCCTGCCCCTGCAGGTCTGATGCTCGAAACGCCGGCGAGGGCTCAAGAGTGTGAGGGGTGTCTGTCGTCCTGTGAGCCCATGCAGGGGTGCACGATACAGCGGGCTCGCGTCGTGGCGACCTGCACGTTCGCCCCTGTTACCGCGTTGGACTGGTCCACCTTGAACGATCGAGGATTTACGATTGCGCATACCGTTCGATGTTGGCCAATTCCGGGCCACGGGCGGATCTCAAGTTTGAGCGCCCGCGCTGGGTTCGCAAGACGCGTCGGCAAGGCACGAACCTGCCGTAGGCCGTGGGGTTCACAAATGGTTGCAGCGGCATGCCCCTTCCTCGGGGGGGAAGTGAGAAGGGGCGGGCCTTCTCAGAAGGCTCGGAAGTCCCCCAGCCTTCTGAGAAGTGTTCTGAGCCTTCCCCGAAAAGACTGAAAACTTCTCAGAAGGGGCGAGGGCTTCTGAGAAGTCCCGCCGCCTTCTGAGCAGGCCTTCTCCTTCTCACTTCACCTCCCCCGCTCGCCGCCGATCCTCATGGGTCGGGCCAGACCAGCAGGGACCTCACCGCACGGGGCTGAGGCTGGCAGAAAGGCCAGCGCCGAGCCGCGATGTCCAGAGGCCGCCAGAGGCCAGCGTTCTGGGCCGCGGGCCACTCGGGCTCCATGAGGGGACCCTGGACGCTCGCCAACGCACAGACGTCCATTCCCCGTCCATTTTTCGGCTTCGTGCGCTGATGTTTCGCAATATGAGCCAAGATGCTCCTTCCTCGATGATCATCGCCGACCAACGGAATGCACACGTCCGAGCGACACCAAGGACGCGGAGAGAGCGAGTGTGGGAACTGGCCCAGGCCTGCGCACGACGCCCCCCTCCAGCGAGGCTCACGGGAGGACGGCAGGGACCCGCCTGCGCCGATCCTGGCCAAGCCAAACCCTTGTCTGCGATCGGTGGGCACGCCCTCCGAGAACATGCCGGCCCGCGGGGCGGAATGGCCCGCTTTCTGGGACGAGGCGCGAGCACCCAGATGGGGTAGGTCGCGATCTCGTTCCCAAGGCCTGAGTCTGTGAGCCTTCTTGACGCTGAGTGCCAACGGAATCCCTGGACTCCCTGAAACCGGGCGCGGCCTAACCGACCCCTAGCAAAGCATCCCGTTCCGTGACGTCATCCTCGCCTTTCGAGCTTCCCTCCAGCCGCATGCATACGTCTTGGGGCACGGAGGGGGGGACGTCGTGGAAGGGGATGGCTTGCTAAGGTCGGTTAGGCCGCCCCTGACGGAAGCAGGCGGAAGCAAAACGGGCCTGTGGAGGCTGGCGGAAGTTCGGCGGAATGCGGCGGAAGTGAGAGCAGTAAGTCCACACGGTCAGCTTCAGGGTTTCTGGGATCGGCCACTGCGAAAAGGAACTCTCGGCAGCACACCAGTCAGCACCCACCACCACTAAGCAATGCGTCCGCGTGGACGCGTGGGCAGACACGCCGCACGCGTGCAAGAGGCCAGGAATGCAGACACGCCAAATGCGCACCAGAAGCGACTACAGGCACGCAAAATGCGTGCAAGCATGAAGAAGGGGAACAGGGAAGGGTCGGAGGACGAGGAAGGGACGAGGCAGGCGTGGGGAACGAAGCAGTCCGCCAAACGCGTTGCAGAGATGATGAAGACGACGGAGATGATGATGATGATGCGTTGACCTCTCCAGGGCACAGCAGCGACAAGAACAGAATGTGGTGCACAGCTGCGCCCATGGTGCCGTGCGGCGCGGGAAGAGCGTTTGTCAGTGTGCCCCCGCGGGTGGCTTCGCGACAGCGTGTTTCTGCAGCCACAATTCTGCAAGAAGGAACCCCGGGTCGGGAACGAGGCCCCTTTGGGGCGCTGGGATGCACGAAGGGCGCCAGAGGAGCAGGCACGGAAGGACCTGAGCAACAGCGAGCCCCTTCTGAAGCCACGGCGGGCCTTCTCTCAGAGGCTCTGGCTGTCTCCCCAGCCTCTGGACCAGAGGACAAACGACACAACCCCACCTGCGGCGCCAGCGGGCTTAGCGTATACGAGGACATCTGGCGTGGGTTTCTGCGTTCAATACGCTGCGGCGCCCGATGGGCCGTAGCGCGCCTCTGCCCTCCCCAGCCTCGGGCAAGGGGCGCCACCACCGCTCGGCAGGGCCAGCGATCCGCGAGCTCCGCTGAAGCGAGCGGTGGCAGCGGCGCCTCCGTGCGGGCCGCGCGGCGCTTGGAAGCCCCGCGGGGCCCCCACGAGTGACGAAAAGTCCCAGACTGAGAGAGCTGGCGGCACAAATTTTTGGGGCCCCCCCCGAGCCACAACGGGGCACGGGCGGCAATGCCTGGGCCGTGGCACGGGCTGTGCAGCAAGGTGCCCAGGGCTCAGCTCCCCGATGGCCCCCTGAGCAGACGCTGCACCCGCTCTGTGCGTACAGACTGGTGCACGGCGAGCTGCGGGAGGAAAGCCGGGTCATGCGAACGATCACGAGCGGCGAACATACACGTATCCACGCCGTCGCGGTCTGGATTTCGGGGCGCCCGCGGATACGCCGCGGATACGCGGTCGCACGGATATGCTCCGCGCAAGGCATCCGCTAAATAACGCCCCGCATCCGCGGGATCGCGGCCCAGAGGCCAGGGCCGCGAGGCCGCGGATACGGACATGTTTGGGAGGCGGGGCTTTATCCATATCCATGGCCTGGTAACCGACGTCCTGGTGCCCCAGCGGGCGGTAGCTGCGGACATATTTCCGCCCCAATGGCCCGAGTGTATCCATGTCAACCGCCCGTCGAGATCTGCGAAGATCGAGCCCCCAGACGGGGTTTCTAGAGGAACAAAAAAAGCATAAACATAAAATTTCGGCGCTACGCGCGGATGTCTTGGATCTGCGCCAGGAGCCCCTCCCTGGCGCGCGGAGCGCGCCAGAGGCGGCGCCAGAGGCGCCGCCGGGGGGCCCAGCACCGATCCAAGAAGTCCGCGCGAAGCGCCGAAAGTTCATATCCATGCCGTGTCTTCCCCTTTGAGGCTTATGGAGAAATCCTCGCCTCAGAATGCTCTTCGCCCGCGTCATGCCGGGGGGCGCCGGCAGCACTGGCCGCCGCAAAACTGTGCGCCTCGTCCTGTCTCGGCAGGGGAACCCCTCCGGCCGGCCCGCGGCACCAGCTGGACGCGCGGCCCCCGCGCAGGCATAGAAGCGGAGCGGTCGCACCACCCGGCCCCTATGAGAGCACGCTGTAGAGGCCTTCGAGATGGGGTCCGAGCAGGTGGGGTCGGAGGATCGCCCCGCCAATGCATCGCCCGTAGGCGATGTCTCGGCACCATCGGCGTGGAGAAAGCCGGGCTCCACATCGAGCCGCATCGTCGATGCGGAGCTATCCTTCGACCCCATCTGCTCGGGCCCCATTTGCGTGGCCAAGACGCCGAGAGGGACCGCACGGCCTGGTCCGACGAGACCCGAGACCCGAGACCTCTCAATCTTCGATTGCGCAATTTTTCCCTCTGCCTGGCCCTTGAACGTGTCGGACTACTTCTAGCTTCGAGCCTCGGCTGGTCCAGTTGGCAAGGGGTGGCCTGCCCTCGTCATCGCTCGGACGTCCATTCCCTGTGCATTTCTCGGTGTCGTGCGTGTTTTTGGGGCTCGATGATCTAGGATGCTCCTCGATGGTCCTCGCCGAATAAAAACGAACACGTCCGAGCGAAACCAAGTGCCTGGCTGCCTGGCTGGCTCGGCAGCGCCCCTCGACGCGCCGGCCTCGGCCAAGGCAGAGTCAACTTCGGGCGTCCTCCGCCGTCGAGGCGGAGGAGGAGGAGGCGGAGGAAGAGGAGGAGGAGACGGGAGGAGGAGCAGGAGGAGGAGGAGGCGGAGGAGGAGGAGGAGGAGGAGGAGGAGGTGGAGGAGAGGAGGAGGGAGGAGGCGAGGAGGAGGAGGAGGAGGAGGAGGAGAGGAGGAGGAGGGGAGGAGGAGGAGCGGAGGTGGAGGAGGAAGGAGGAGGAGGAGGGAGGAGGAGGAAGGAGGAGGAGGAGGGGAGGAGGAGGAGAGGGAGGAGGAGGGAGGGAGGGAGGGAGGGAGGAGGAGGAGGAGGAGGAGGGAGGGAGGAGGAGGAGGAGGAGGAGGAGGAGGAGGGGAGGAGGAGGAGGACGTGGGGGGTCCGAACACCCCCCTCCCATCGGAAACCGACGCGTCTTTCGACCTCGACTGCGCGTGTGAGCTCAGAAGGTGGGCTCCACCAGTCCAGGGTGGAAAGTGCGAGAAAAACTGCCGCCTGATCTTGTTGCCGCCCTTGTCAAGCCCCATCGTGGCCACCAATTCCACGGCGTAGGTCAGGTTCGGATCCGCATGGCCATGCCACGCCGAAGAGGGGCCGCCGAAATCCTCCTTCGGATCAGCGTTGGTGGCGGAGCCTGGGAACTCCCAAAGTCACCTGGACTATCGCCCTGTGAGCTCGTGAGCAAGGGGACATTGAGCGAAGCACTAGCAGCAATGGAGAAGGATTCATTGCGCATGGGTTCGAAAGAAAGCATCCTTCTCATCATCCTCCTCTTTTCCCTTCTTGCCCTCTTCCTCTTTCGTCTCCCCACACCCAGCCTCCCCATCCTCCTCCCTCTGCTCCTCCTCTTTCTCCCCCTGCCCGTCTAACACCACGCTCCCCATGCCGCCGTCGACTATGCCTCGTCCTCCGCCTCGCCCCACTTCCCGTTTCAGGAGGTGGTCTGGGAGGCATGTGTTCGCGGCGCGCCCGGGGGGGGGGAGTGACAGGCGGCGGATGGATCCTCAAAAGCCCCCCTGGTCTTCTGAGATGCCCTTTGTGGCTTCGGAAATGTCTTGATGTCTTCAACACGGGTCGCCCTCAAGTTGTGACCCTTCCCTCAAGGCTGGTTTGTCATCCCGACTCGTCTGTTGTCGGTCCCCGAGCCCAGCGAGGGCCCACGGAGGCAGAGGAGGGCCAGAAACCTCCCCGCATGATCTTTGTTACGACGCGAGCGTGTCTGGGACTTCTGAAAAAGCTTCTCAGAAGGCTGAAGACTTTCCGATCCCTTTGGGCAGGCCCGCCCCATCTGCCTCCCCCCTGGGCGCGCCGCCGAATGACAGGAGGCGCACGACGGCGTCCCAAGGGGGCGACGGCGCGGGCCCTCTTCTCGTTGTGGCCGCCCGGCAGCCTGCTTTGGCGCCGAGCTCGCCCTCGACGATCTTCCTGGCCTTGCGCGTGGCGGGCCAATGCCGAGGGAGCAGGGCCCGACTTCCATCCACGAGAGCGCCAACTGTCACTCTGAGAGCACTGACACGTAGATAGGCCCAGGTGCTGACGCTCTGCCATCCCTATCCTTCTCTTCCTCCTCCTCCTCCTCCTCCTCCTCCTCCTTCATCATCATCCTCCATCCTCCTCATTCCTCGATCATCTGTGATCCATCCTCCTCCTACCTCTCCTCCATCCTCCTCCTCCTCATCCTCCTCCTCCTCCTCCTCCTCCTCCTCCTCCTCCTCATACTTCTCCTCCTCCTCCTCCTCCTCCTCCTCCTCCTCCTCCTCCTCCTCTTCTCCTCCTCCTCCTCCTTATCCTCCTCCTCCTCCTCCTCCCCTCCTCCTCCTCCTCCTCCTCCTCCTCATCCTCATCCTCATCCTCATCCTCATCCTCATCCTCATCCTCATCCTCCTCCCCCCTCCTCCTCCTCCTCCTCCTCCTCCTCCTCCTCCTCCTCCTCCTCCTCCTCCTCGTCTACCTTCTCCTCGTGCTCCTCCTCTTATAGTTCTGACTTCCGACCACATAGCGCCAGCGGTCGCCTAGCCGACACGGGCCCCCCCGAGCAGACACGAGGGAGCTTGTTACACAACTCATCAAAAATTGAACCCAGCGGTCTGCCAGCGATTCAGCGCCCCTGGCAGCTCGCCCATGGGATAGCCCATGGCGCGAGGCAGGTGGGGAGTGCGCTGGACGCTCGCTGGGGGCTGCGCTCGAGATGGAGGGCGGGCCGTTTTCAAAATGCGGCTCTCGCCTTGGCGCCGCGCACACTCGCTGTAAAGTTTGTAACAATTTCACGGATGGAGGGCGGGTGGTTTCAAAATGTAGCTCTCACCTGAAGGCCGCGCACATTCGTCTCAAAGCTTGCGACAATCTCACAACATGCAGGGCGGGCTGTTTCAACATGTGTGCTGCCGCCTTCGCGCCGCGCACATTCGTCCTAAAAGTTCGCACGATTTTCAAGGACGGAAGGCGGACCCTTTTCAAACTGTGGCTCGCGTTGTAGCGCCGCGCACAGCCGTTCTAAGAGGATACAGCAGTTTCAAGGATTCGCATGGTCCAATTCCCTGACATGGTGTTCTGGCACGATTGAGGACTGCTGTCAGGACCTAACAGGCACGTTGATTTGCGGTTTAGAATCCCAGGGGAACAGCGTTCGGGCACGAGTTCGGATTGTCAGGACGCAGCTGTCACTTTGATCCACGGCGCTGAAGTCCCAGGAACTGCGTTTTTGCACGAATTAAAACTCTCACTTCGTTGTATTACTTAAATGGGCCACGTCCCGCAATGATCAAAGTTCCTTTAGGACAAGGGCCCGATTCGGCTTCAGGCCTGTTTCGGTTTCGAGCCCGTTTCGGCTGCGGATCATTTCGGATTCGGCCCGGTTCGGCTTCGGCGCGTGTCGGCTCGGCTCGTTTCATCTCCGTCCGTTTCGGCTTCGGCGCGTTTCGGCTGCGGCAAATTTCGGCTTCGCCCGTTTCAGCTTCAGCTGGTTCGGCTTCGGCCCGTTCCGGCTTCCAGGCCCGGGTGGGAGCGCGAATCTGGTAGCCGACACGGGCCGAAGCCGAAACGGGCCAGACCCAAAACGGGCCGGGACGAAACGGGTCAGAGTCGAAACGGGCAGGGACAAAACGGACCTGAGCCGAAACGGGCCAGGCCGAAACGCGCCGAAGCCGAAACGAGCGGATGAAGCCGAAACGGGTCGGAGCCGAAACAGGATTAACAGGATTCGGGATCCGCTTCGGCCCTGGGCCCTCGGGCAAAGACGAAACGGGCCCGTGAGCCTCAACGGAGCTCGGGCCCGTGGAGGAGGAGGTGCCCCTCACCATCGCCCTCAGCCTGGTTCCTACTCGCTGTAAGCATAAGCCCAACCGGCGTCTGCGGAGGAGGTACATGAGAGAGGGAGAAGGGGGGCGCGGGACGGAGAGGCCGGCGAGTGCCAGCAGCAGCCCCCCCGGCGCAAGAGGAGCCCAGGAGCCGCCCACGGGCGGGCGCCAGAGTGGAGCTCTCGGCACACGCGCACCCATCGCTCAAGGCCCCCGAGAGGCGCGCACGAGCTGGGACCGGGCGATCCTTGCGCACGCCCGCCCAGAGCACGATGCCCGCACGGGCATGCACCAGGCAAGACCTCGGCGTCCACACACGGGGCACGAGGCGCCCGCGGGCGGGTGCCCTTCAAGACGGCCTCCGAAAGCTCTGACGTGCCCCAAGAGCGTCCTCGAACGGCCCAGGAAACTCCCAAGAGCCCCCGAGGCGCCCCCACGGCGCTGCGAAAAGACCCGACGAGGCCCCTGAATGCCCCCAATAACCCCTCAATGAACCCTCGGAACCTTCCAGAGACCCGAGATGTCACTCGTGGCGTCCTCCCGTGTCCGCTCGAAGATCTGCCAGCCACAATGCTGGACTGGCATGGCGGCAGCACTGGTAGCAGGCAGGTGTTGGCGGCTGGCGGCGGCGAAAACCGAGAGGACGCCGAAAACCAACGATGCGCCGACAGCCAACAAGGCGCCGAAAACCAAATGGGCGCCGGAAAACCACAAGGGCGCCTCCTCCGCTCCTGTGCTTCAGATCGTTCCTGGCGCGTCCCGCCCGTAGCCCCGCCGGCACCTGCACTCGCTTCGACTCGCTTGCGCCCGCTGACTTAAGAAAGTTCCCCCCCCCCTCCCTCTCTATATCTCTCTCTCTCTCTCTCCCTCTCCCTCTCCCTCTCCCTCTCTCTCTCTGAGCCAACGAACGTCTACAAAGCACAGGCGGATCGCTTCTCCTCCTACCCCCCCCTCTCTCTCTCTCTCTCTCTCTCCCTCCCTCCACTACCCTCTCCTCGCCTCTCCAGAGGGGGGAGGGAACGACAAAGGGGGCAGCGAAAGGGGAGTCTGGGAGTCAGCTGCACGCAGCTGTCTTCCCAGCGCCTCACAGCGCTGGGAGCGGCCCTGTATCGAGGAGGCTGTCCAGCTGCAGGGCCGAAACCAGCTGCACGCAGCAACGCCCGTCGAACGGAGGAAGTTGGCAAAAACATGAAGTAGGAAGGCGCTGAAGTAGATCGGGCTTCCGCCCGCCCCTGACGAGGAGGGAAGAGGGAAAACCGCTGGACTCTTCAAGTAGGAAGGCGGTTAGGATAGATTGGAATCTGGGAATCCAGAAGTACCGGCGTGTATTCATACTCCCCCCTTCCCACTCCCCCTCTTAGTCCACCCCGAGCCTTCGCTTCGAGGCCTCAGCCCCCTGGACCCCCCGCAAGCACGGCCCACGGCCAGCTACCCTCCCCCTCTCGAACAGGGCTCGAAATCAACAATGATTGTCGTTTTCGTTGTCGTTCTCTCTCGTTCTGTCTTCTTTCCGCCTTTGCTACAAAACGAAACCAAAACGAAAACGGTCCACGAGATCGCTAACACACAGCAGAAGTCGGGCCCTGAAAACGGCACAGGCATAAATTCTCGGTCCGCGCGGATTGCCTGGGTCGGCGCGCGCAGAGCGCGGAGCGCGCCAGCGGCCGCGCTGCCAGGAGATCCAGCGCCGACCCAACAAACCCGTCCGAACATCAGACATTCTATGTAAATTCGCTCGTGGTCGTTCTTCTATCTCGGTGAAGTTTTACTCACATCCACATCCACATCAACATCCACATCCTCCTCCTCCTCCTTCTCCACGTCCTCCTCCTCCTCCTCCACCTCCTCCTCCTCCTCTTCCTCCTCCTCCTGTCCTTCGCATGCGCCCTCTGAGGGACCCCATTGCCGACCTGAGCTGGGTTCGTCCTACAGCCATCGTGCTACCGTAAAAAGACGCTGATTAAGTAACGAGACAATTGCCCTGTGGTCTCGGTCCGCCCGTGTCCGCGCCGTCCCCGGACCTCCCCCCCACCCACGCTCTCCCTGAGAAACTTCACCGCCGTCGGCCGCCTTCGCGCGCGCAGTAGGCGCGCATGCACAAATATGCATACGTACATATATATATATATACACACACGTATGCATATATGTACACATATGTATGCATATGTGCGTATGTGTACATAACTGCACATCTAATGATTGTGTTTATAAACCCGTGCATGTGTCGGCGTACCTTCTGTTATATAGACCTATACGTATACCTGCACGCAGTATAGAGATATGAGTGCACATCCACGCACGAAGACACGCACACAAACACACACACACACACACACACACACACGCACACAGACACACACGAACACACAAGCACACGCAGACACACGCACGCGCACACGCACACGCACACGCACACACCCACACACACACACACACCATGTCTCCATCTGGCGCGCCTTCCCTCACCCTTCCGAAGCACACAGAGCTGCGAGATCCAGGCACAGCCGAGCGCTCGGCGTATGGGCCCTGCACGCCGCTCATGCAGTCGTACACCATGCTGAAGTCCGGTCTGGCGATCATGGCCTCCAGACAACGGGGGCTACGCCATCGGGCGCTCTCTTCCGACGAGCTGAGCGACATGACACGCCTATGGAGAGCCGCTTGCATGCTGCCCTGACAGACAAAGCCTTGGATACACGCACAGTCTGGCGCAGTGAGAGCAAAGACATAAGCCATAATCGATGCTACCAGGGAAAGCGTGATACGAACGGCGATCGTTCGCTCGCTCCCGATCTATGTGGGGAGAAATTGAGGGGGGGGGGGGGGGGGGGGGGCAAAGTGCAGACGTGCAGACGAGAGCAAGGGAGGATGGGAGGCTTGAGAAGGCCAAGGGTGGGAAGCTGGGAGCGAGAAGGGAGGTTGAGAGTAACGTGAGGGGCAAGGAAAGGTGATGCGAGCATGCGACTGGCATCACTATCCACTACGCGTAACCCCATCATTTTCCTCCCCTTCCTCCTCCTCCTCCTCCTCCTCCTCCTCCTCCTCCTCCTCCTCCTCCTCCGGCCCCAGCTCAGCCCCGTGGGCTAGGGCTCAACCTCCTGTCTCTCTGAACTGTCCTCGCCGCTCTGAGCGGCGCCCAGGAGAGACCCTCAGGGGGCCAAAGCCACAAGCCTCGGTCCCAGCTCAGCCACGTGGGCTAGGGGTCAACTTCCTGGGTGGTTTACCTCAGCACCACCAGGTTCGACACGCACGCACCGCACAGAAGAAGACATAATATCTCGCAGAAATGCCGGTGGTCGACCTCAGCACCACCAGGTTCAGACGCCAAGCAAAAAAGAATTCTGTGGCACGGCTGCACGGCTGACACGCCAAAGAGGCGATCCACGGCACTGCGCACAGCCTCTGGGAAAGCGGACATTGCAAAGAACAGCGAATCCATCGATGCCGCTTTGGACGGTTAACCCAGGCACCACCAGGTTACCAGGCTCTCAGGCCACGACACACGAGAAAGGAGAGAAACAGCCTTCACCCTCAGAAAGCAGCCGCAGGCCTCATGGCAGCCCCGCCCCGCCCGCTTGCTCCAGGCGTGCCACAGCGCCGACGCCCTGGCTCAGGTGGATCGCCTCGGCCCACCGCACGATGCTCCTGCACGCCTCGCCGTGGCTCCACCCGCGTCGGCACTCGGCTCTGACCAATTCCTCGAGTCGGTGCCGGACCACGAAGGCCGTGCTTCCCGGTCACGTCGACGACGACGTTCGTCCCTGTGAACCAGTCGCCCAGCGTGGCCACCCGCTCGGTCAATGCCTGGACGACGACCTCGCCGAGGGCGTCGCGGCATCGCCCTTCATCCGCCTGGATCGCTCGAGCCCTCATCTCCCTTGCCTTCGCCGAACCTGCCTTCGGCGCCCCCCTGTCCAGGAGCACCGCGGCCTCCGCATCCGCAAGGCGCTCGAGGTCCCGAAATGCGTCCGCCAGGAGCTCTCGCACCGCACCTGCAGCTTCATCACGGCGGCTTTCACCCGCGCTGCGATGGCCACAGTGGCCGAGCGCCGCGCACGCGCCATGGGCAGCGCCACCGCGTGCTTTAACGCCACGAGCCGCTCCTGCCTCCCGACCTCCTCGCCCTTCAAGACCGACATGGCGTCGCCCACGCAGTCGGGGACGGGGAGGCCCGAGGAGAGGATGCTGGAGGCGCTGTCCGTGCACTAGGAGCCGTGGCTGGCGACGTCCTCTAGCTTGTTATGCTTGCCCTCGATCTCGGTGCCGAGGGACTTGTAGGACCCTCCAGCCCCTGTGCGGAGGCCAGGGTGGGAGCGGCCGCTGGGAAGACACGGCCGGCGTCCTCAGCTGCAGCAGTCCACCACAACGGGCCCGACGCGAGGAGCGGGATGCTTGCCTCGCCTGCACGGCGCACCTTGTCCGATAAATCGAACGTGGCATCAATGGACACGTTGCGGCCGCGACTGCGTGCCGCAAGGGTCCAGCACGAGGGCACCGCGTCGGCTGCCGCCCGCGCAGCAGGAAGGCGGCGATGCCCCCAGGAAACCGCCCAGGACGGCGCGCACCTAGAGGTCGCTCGCCGCGCGCCGCGCTGAAGGCGGCTGAGCGAAGCCACCCTCATCCGCCCAATGGAGGCGCCCCGCCTCGCAAAGCAATGCATGGCCGCATTCCGCCTGGCGACGGCCAGCGGCGGCGCGCGCCTGCGCCCACGCGAAGGGCGAACAAACCCGCAGCTGGCAAAACAGGGGCCACAAGGGCGACCGAGGATGAGACGCCAAGCCCGCCGACGATGGGCGCGCTCAGTGCCTGCTGCGCCACGTCGAGCCCTGTCCAGCCATGCGTACTGCTGTCGGCGGCATCCGCGCCAGCAGAGAGCCCAGGAAGGCCCCCTGGCGAGCCGCCGAGGAGCTCGCTCTGGGGAACAATCTGCTCGATGCCGACACCTGCCGCGGCCAGGTCGAAAGCGGGCACGCCCCATGCATGCCTCGCGCCAGCGAGGACCGACACGCACGGGGACTGCCGGCGCCAGGCCCTCGATGACCTCGCATTATACAGCGTCCATCTGGTCAGGAGGACCGAGCGGGGTCGCGAGGCGCAGCGCCTGCACCGCCGCCGCCTCGTGGCCCTTGCGGCGCGCGCCGAGCTCGGCCTCGAGGGTGGCGACGCGTGCCAGGGCTGCAACCAGCCTGCCGTGGACCGCTTCACGCGCAGCAGCCCTGCGGGCACGACGCGCTGGCCCGAGAGACGCCGAGGGCGCTCCAGCCTGATGAGGCGGCTCGGCCGCCGCGAGGGTGACTCGGCCACGGACCGCAACCATGCCCCAAGCTGTTGATCTCTGCGACCTCGCTCGGGGCCCAAAACTAAAGAAAACAGAGAAGAACGGCTTGAGCGAAAATGGCTACGGACTACGATGAAGGCATTTGTTTAATACTCGCGGGCGCAAGCGCCCATGTTTGCATTCGTCATGCAACGCGCGGGCGGGACCCCCAGGAGCGAGCATCTCAAAACAGGCCGTGCTCGTCCTCCTGGGGTCCACGGACCCCGCGCGCACCCGCGGCGCGTTCGGCGCGGGCCACTCGGCCGCGGCCCCTCGCCGCCGCCAGGGACGCGAAGCCGTGCGCCCGCGCCACGCTCTCCAGCGGCGGCATGATCAGCTGACTTGCCACCGCAGCGCCCACGCCTGGGCCAGCTCCTGCGGCCACTCGCACCGAGGGCTCGCCTGCGCTGCCGCTGCCCACCACCTCCAGCTCTGCGTCGTCGGCGACCCTGAGGTTGATCGCCCAGCGCGCCCTCGTGACCTGCGTCGGCGGCTGGAGGTCACCGAACGCGTCCTTCGTGCCTGGGAGGATCCTCCTCTTGAGGTCATTTCCTCGCCTGGAAGCCGCTCTTGGCCCGATGCTCCGCGCCGAGGCACTGGTCGCGCAGCCCTTTGCGCGCCACGGGCGGGGTGGAGGGCGGGGCCGCCGCGGGGCGCTTGCGAGGGGCCGTCGGCCTGCCTCCGCCTGGGCCAGCAGGGGCGCCGGCCGAGCTGGGGCTGCGCTGGAGGCCGCTGCCGCCGCATGCGCCATCGCCGCCCCCGCGGCCGCCGCACTCCCAGCGCCGCTGCGTGCCGCGCTGGCCTCCGCCACGCCTGTCTCTCCGTCGTAGAAGTAGCCCAAGTCGATGTCCTCCAGAGCCTCTGCGGGCCAGCAGTCGCGGCACCCTTGGTCCGAGATGTGGGCCTCAATCTCGGCGGCGAAGCGGCAGGGCGCTTGCCCGCCGGGACCTGCAGCGCCGCGCCCTCCTTGGCCCGCTTGTCCGCGATCATGTTGCCCTCGCGCTCCAAGGCCGCGATCTCGCCTCTGAAGACCGCCGCCTCCGGGGCGCGGGCAGGGGCGTGCTCCACCTCGATCCCTTCCGCTGAATCCCCCGCACTGGCCCAGAGGTGGGCATGAGGTGGCGAAGGTCCTCGGGCCCTAGGAAGGCCCCTGATGCTGTCCACCGCGCCCTTGCAGTCACAGCGCAGGGCGAAGCGCCCGACGATGCGCGCGAGCGCCAGCACAGCAGCGCAATCCTCGCCCGCGCGCGCCGACTGGCCGGGCAGCAGCTCGGGTGGGACCGCCCCCCACGCTCGGGCCAGAACCTGACCACTGGCCGAGATCACGATGACCGACCAGCCAGCGCAGCGCAGCGAGGGGAAGCTCCCATGCACGCAGGAGCCGTCGGCGAGCACCATCGCACCGTCCGCCACCGCCATGGGGTTCCCCCAGCCAGCTTGGCGCCACTCCAAGTGCGCCTGCCAGCGGGGCCGCTTGAGCAGCGGCGAGGCGCCCACGAAGAGGCCCTGGGCGAAGAGATCAGATAGGGCGGACCCCATGCCGTTGGCCTCCTCCGCCGCCGCCTGCAGCCCAGGCGGCGTCCGATCTCTCCTCCTGCCCTGCATGGCGGGGCACTCGAAGCGGCGGTGGAAGACCGAACCCTCGGACGCCTGGCGCAGCAGGCACTTCGGGCTGATGTCCGCCGCGTGCCGCTCGAGCCGCGCCTGCGGCACGTGCGCCAGCGAAGCCAGCCAGCGCGGGCAGCCCTTGCGATGACTGGTCCAGCTCTCGGAAACTGCTCGGCCCAGAAGCTCGCTGACGGACTTCCAGGCAGGCGGCGGCCTCCAAGGCCAGAGAGACCCAGGGCGGGCTCTAGCCTCCTCAAGGGCCGCCGCCTTCCGCGTCGCCCCCCTGGCCCTCGCCGGCAGAAGCGAAGGCGAGAAGGCGACGGCGTCAAACTCGCAGCCCTGCTCGTCTCGGAGGCGCGCGCCTCCAGCGGTGAGACGCCATCCTAGGCGCTGCAGGGCGAGCACCAGAGCCGCGATCGGGTCTCGGACCGCCGCCCAGGGCCTCTGGCAGCGCTGCAGCTTCTCCGCGTCCCCAGGGCAAGCTTGCACCGCTGCAGGCCAGGCCTGCCAAGCCCACGTCGCGCTGCAGAATGCCTGGACCGGCATGCCCGTCACGATGACCAACGGGCCCTGCCTCCAGCCACGCGGACCGCACTGCAGCGCAAAGCTGAGCGCCGCTCCGGGGGGCAAGCGACCAGCGCTCTTGGCTGCAGCCACCCTGAGGGCTCGAAACCTGCCTGGGGGCACTCCTGACGTCGCCGAGCCCCAGAGAGCCCCGGCCGTCGGCCCCGCGCGCATCACCCTGGCTTGCCGCAGTCCGAACCCGAATATGCGGGCGAGGCGGGCTCCTTGGCGAAGGGCCGCCAGCTCGCGGGCCACCTGCGTGGCGACTCTACGGTGGCCACCCGCAGCGGCGTCGCCACCCGGGTCGCGGTGGCCAGACACGAAGGCAGCAGCAGGAAGAGGCCACTTCTCCTGGGCCGTCAGGTCCCTCTGCAGCGAGACCGACGAAGCCAGGACCTTGGCCTTGCCCCACTTGATGGGCAAGCGCTTGTCCCCCAGCATCTGGACGACCCCGTTCACTAACTGGAGCCAATGCCATGGCCCGCCACATCGTCGATGACGCTCACCACCCTGCCGACCTGCAGGAGCCGAAGCAGCAGGTCGTGCAGCATGAGCCTCGCGAGGGGCGTAGCGCACGAGCAATCGGCGATCACCGAGCCGACCGCGTAGATCCCCTCGCCCACCGCGCCGTCGACGGTGGCGCGCCGAGGCCCAGCGCAGGCGACGCGCAGGGCCCGCGCGAGGCCGACGCTGAAGTCGTTCGCCTCGGCCGCCGCCTTCAGCAGATCGCGGTCGATCCACTCGTAGAACTTACAAATGTCGAAGTAGACCGAGGCATCATCGAAGCCCTTCGCGCGGGCCAGCCCCAGGTAGAGGTTGCGAAGGTAGGCCGCCCTGTCGCGGGAGTTGTCCGCGCCGCCTCCCCAGATGTCAAGGACCTGGCGCTTCTTCCCCCAGGCCGCGCAGCACCTCCTGCGAATCCGCCCCCAGAGGCGCAACCAGAAAGCCATCGGCCCGATCGGCCGCGCGCCGTCATCTGGCTTGCCGAGGAAGACGACGGGGGCGGTGAAGAGCCCTGTCGGCTTGGGGTCGCGCCCCCACGCGGCGATCACCTCGGCCACCCGCTCGGCGAAGGGCCGCCCCAGCAGCGGCAGCAGGTGGGGATGGAAGGCGCCCCTGCCGAGCGCGGTCCGCTCGGGGAAGGTCTCGGCCACGCCCAGCACCTCCTCGGCCGTGGCCTCAGGGAGGTCCATGACAGCCTCCCACTCAGCGGGCGGGGTGGGCGACCTGGCGCCGCCGCCGCCCGCTGGCTCGCGCCAGCCCCTCGCCTGTCCTCCCAGAGCCGCCGCCACTCTAGCAGGATCTGATCCATGGCTGGTTGGCCGACGAGCGGCGCGGCGGGGGGCTCGGGGCCGCCGTCCGCAATCACCGCGCTCGCCTCCGCCGCGGGCGGCTTGCTGGCAGCACGGGCGCCGCGCCCTCCAGCATCCAGCGCGCCCTCCACGAAGTCGCGCCAGCGCGCGCCGGTGGCCTGGGCGCCCACGCGGACGCGATTGGCCGCGGCCGCCTCGATGGCGTCGAAAAAGAACCTGCCCGAGCCCGAGGACGCACGCACTTCCTCGAGCAGCAGCCGCATGTTCGACACCGTGAACACCAAACAGCCATGCTGGACGAAGTTCGGCACCAACGAGACGGCAGCTGATTCCAGGCGGCACATGTAGGCCTGGCGCGCATGCCCAGGCGCCTCCAGGAGCGCCGCCGCCGCCAGCTGCCGCGCCAGGCGCCCCAGGGAGATCCAGTGCCGCGTCAACGGGCTCACCTTCCGAGTCGACTCCGCGCGCTGCAGGTCCTTCGACGCCTTCTAGACCCGGCGAACTCCCCAGGCGCGCCCGCGACACTGGTGGCTGGCCGCTCCCAAGCCCAGCAGGTCGACGAGATGCTGCTCCGCCGTGCCGTAAAACCCCCTGATCGCAGCATCGGGCGACCCGCGCTCGCCCAGCAGCGGCGCCTCCCAGCGCACGGAGACTGCAGCTCGCAGCGCCTCCTCACGCGCCTCGGCCGTGACCTCCACGCTGAGGTCGAAGGCCCGCGGCGACTGCAGCAGCACCCAGACCTCCGCCAAGGCCCCCAAGCGCTCGAAGGACATGCGGACGGGCACTTGGGGGCACAGCGCGGTGGGCCGAATCGCCTCGACCTTCGGGCCAGGAGCCGCCAACACCGCCGACACAACGAAGAAGTCGTACTTCTTGGTCAGGCAGGCGGGCTGCTCGGCCTCGAGTATCACGCCACCAGTGGCCCTCGGCCACCAGGATCCCGCGAGCTCCTGCGGCTCCATGTTCCTGTCGCCCCCGACGATGCAGGGCCCCTGCTGACAGTTGAGGAACTCCTGCAAGCGCCCCAGCAGCTCCAGGTTCAGCCCTGCCAACCGAGACGAGTGCTCAAGGTAAACGCTGGCCACAACCATCACTAGGTCACCGAAGGCCACTCTGCGGGCCACGATCCTGGAGACGAGGCCACCCCAGCCATTCACAACCATCGCCACCCCACGGAAGCTGGCTGCCACGATGGCCACTCCCAGCGACACCTCCTGCGCCTTCGCTCCAGTGCGCGCGCACGAGCTGAAGGCAGCCTCGAGCAGACTCCGAGGCGCGCTCCGAGACGAACCTGGTCTCCTGCACCAGGATCAAGTCATCGGAGCATCCAGCCTCTCGCAGTTGCTCCAGCGCAGTCTGCGTCTGGGCCCATGACGAGCCCTTCAGCGTCACGATGCTGGCGGCGGCGCCCTGCTCGGGCGGCAGCAAGTCCGCCAAGGAGAGCAGCCTGGCCTTCATGTTAAAGAATCCTCCTGCCCTGCGCCTCGACCGCAACAGGGGTGACCGTTGCCAGAGGGCCCAGGTCAGCTGCCTCCGCCGCCAGCGAGCTGACCAGGCCAGGCGCAACCTTGGTCCAGCCTCCAGCAGCAGGACCTCGCCGAGCCGCCTGGCCACGCTCCTCAGCCGGCAGCGGCTCCAGCAGGTCGATGTCCGAGTCAGAGCCGACCGCGCCGCCATCCAGGGGGCAGCTGTCGCCCCAGCGCTCGCGTTGCTGCAGCTGCGTCTTGCACTCTGGGGCGGAGAACAGGGCCTCCACCGCCGCCAACTGCTCCATCATGCTCTCCCACGCACGAGCGAAGTTGCCAGCCGTGTGCGCCGTCGGCAGAGTGCGGAGCTGCACGAACAGGCCCCGCGTGGCCTCCAGGTCTCGCTCTGACACAGCGCGCTCCTGGCCGTCGCGCGCCTGCGCCGCCGCTGCCTCCAGGGAGTTGAATCGTTCCTGCGCCGCCGACTGCTGCTCCTCAGCACGCACCCGCTTCTCCTGGGCCTCCTGCAGCTCGGCCTCGGCGTCGGCGACCGCCTTGGCAGCGTCGACGAGGGCGCGGCGCGCTCCCGCAGCCTTCTTCTCCGCGCGGCTGACTGAATAGGCCTCTCTGCGGAGCTTGGCCGCTCGCGAAAGGCCTGCCTCTCTGTCAGCTGCCAGCGCCGCGGCTGCCGCATCACGTTGAGCTCGAAGGGGCACCAGCTGCTCGTCCACGTGCGCCACGCCGAGGCCCGAGGGAGCAGGGAAGGCTTCGAGGTACTCGATGGCCTTTTGCAGCTCGCCCATATCGCCCGCTGGCCTCCGAACCAGTGCCCGTGCTGTCGAGCGTGCCCGCCTCCGAGCCGTCCGCTGGGGCGGGCGCGGCAGCTGCCACGGCTCGAGCTTTGCGGCGCCCACGCTCGCCCTTGCCTGGCCGCACCCAGCCGTCGGTGTCGAGCTCGGGCTGGCAGGACGCGTGACGCGAAGCCCAGGGCGGCGCCTTGGCCTTGCAGCCAATGCAAGAGCTGCGGGTGCAGTAGTTCCACTGCTTGCAGGCGCGGCAGGCACAAACCCAGTAAGAGCCGTCGCCGCGGCCGCGAGCAGCAGCAGCGCCAGCAGCCGCAGGAGGCGCCATCACGCGGGCCCGCCGCCGCCGCGCACGCAAGCCCCAGAGGAACTCGCAGCTCTCTGTGCCTGGCCCAAAGCGCGGAGCCCCTCGCGCTCTGAACGCCGCGGACGACTCGCGGTCGTCGGGCGCTCCATGGCCTAGAGCCAAAATGGCTACGGACGATGAAGGCATTGGATAAGGAACCCTAAGATAAGGAATCCAGGGTATGGAAGCCGGCGGAACATCCATTGAGGTTTGGCCATGGATCTCACCGCCACCCTCATCGGATAAGGAATCCTCCAGGGTCTAAAACCTCCTGGGCACATTCCTTGACGAACGCCCCCACCGTATGCGCACCTGCGGAATGGGAAGACGGATGCGCACTCTGACTTTGTTTGAAGCGGATGGCTGGAGTCCTTCAGCAAAACACCAAATGAGGAAAATCCTGGAGGCCCAGCGCCGCAACTCGGGACCCAGCTCACGTCGGATCCACCACGTCGAATTCACATCGGGCTCCCGTCGGATCACGTTCGATTTACGTCGGATTCACGTCGGCTTCACGTTGGACACACATCGGAGCATCACCGCGGGAACGTAGACCCGTATCTTATGGAGCGGACGTACGGACTAGACGATACAACCACTGCGCGCCGTGCCAGGCCTCCAGGATTGCAATGCGCACCTGCGAGATGGGGAGGCGAATGCGTGCGCACTCTGGCTGTGTTTACAGCGGGTGGTTTAGAAGTCAAAAAATCCACCCACATAAGCACCCCGACACGCGAAGTCGTTTAGTAAATGCGCCCAAAGAGGATCGAACAGAGCAGGGCTGTTTAGCAAACGCCGAGGGCCGTTTAGCAAACGCCAGTTATCCGGTCTGGATGGCTTTTCCTCCCTTGATGGCTGGAGTCGCGAATGGACAGACCCCCCTTTAGCAAAACACCTTTCAGTAAAAAGGGTACGGGACCAGTCGCAGTGAATGCGACCGCACCGTCCCCTCGAGAAGCGGAAAGGGGCAACTCGCGAATCTTAGGTCGGGCGTGTCCCCCTACAGGCGGATTTGGGAGGAATAATCAAAAACATCGAAAATACTCAAGAAGAATCAGACATGGGCGAAAAATCGTTCCTGGACTATTTCCCTACCTAGGCTCTGCCTAGAAGGGTTCTTACTGTGTGGGCTTAAAGGGCCGGGCAGTGGAACCCGCCCCGGGCGGTTCCCCCAGGATCCGCCTCGCGGTTCCCCCAGTGACGTTTCCTTAGCTTAGCGCTGCTTATCTCATCTTAGCTTAGCTTATTTCATCTTAGCTTAGCTTAGCTTCATCTTAGCTCAGGTGTATCTTAGTTTAGCTTGCCTTCATCTTAGGTTCGCTGAGCTTTAGCATAGCAGAGCGCAGCATAGCATAGCATAGCATAGCATAGCATAGCATAGCATAGCGCAGCACATCATATCATAGCATAGCCCAGCATAGCATAGCATCGCGCAGCATAGCATAGCATAACATAGCATAGCGCAGCGCAGCACAGCACAGCACCGCGCAGCATAGCATAGCATAGCATAGCAGAGCAGAGCAGAGCAGAGCAGAGCATAGCAGCAAAGCAAAAGCAAAGCAACAGCAGCGACAGCAAAGCAAAGCACAAGCAACGCAAAGCAACGCAAAGCAAAAGCAAAAGCAAAACAAAGGAAAGGCAAAGCAAATGCAATGCCTACCTAGGCTCTGCCTAGAGGGTTAGCTTAGCTTAGCTTAGTTTAGCATAGCGCAGCGCTGCATTAGCATAGCATATCATAGCATAGCATACCATAATCAAACATTGCATAGTATAGCATAGCATAGCATATAACAGCATATCATAGCATAGCATAGCAAGGCATAGCATAGCGCAGCTTAGCATATCATAGCATATCATAGCATAGCATAGTTTAGCGTAGCACAGCGCAGCGTGGCATAGCTTAGCTTAGCATAGCATAGCATATCATAGCATAGCGCAGCACAGTATAGCATAGCATAGCATAGCATAGCATAGCATAGCCCAGCATATCATGGCATGGCATAGCATAGCATAGCATAGCAACTAATGCTGCTTTCCTAGGGGCTCCAACTTCTAGGTAGGGTCGCACTGGGGTAATTTTTGACTATTTTTGAATATTTTCCTCCCGCACGTCCAGCACGAAGACCGGCTGCGCACAGGAGCAACCCTCGGCAAGAGTGACCTCGCCAATCACGGCCTGCGTGCTTGGGTCTTGGCTTAGGTCGGGCATGTCCTCAGGTGGATTTGGACGAAAAATAAAAAAATGTCATCAAAAATATTCAAAAGATCGTCCCCATACTATATTTTGCCTACTTTTGAATGCTCCTCCTGTAGAGGGACAGGCCCGACTGAAGTTTGGCCCCCCCCTGCACCCCCCAAAAGCCGAGCGCCAGAAGTCACTCCGTCGAAGGGTCGCCCCTGCGTGTCGCCGAGGGGATGCGGGAGGGGGGGAGGCTGCCCTCTGTCTGCCCACGCGGCCGCCAGCCAGAGCCTGCCACGCTAGCGACGGTCGCCGCCGCCGAAGAGCGGCTCGTCCTCTTCGTCCTACGAGGGGAAGCGATGCGGCGGGCGGGGGGGCCAGCTCCGGGGGAGAAGCACCGGCCCGGAAGCGGCGGCACGTCGCCGAAAGACAGCGAGACCGCACGCTCCCGTGCAGGGTGGGGGTGCCCGGGCCCCGATCGGCGATGCCCAGGCGGCTGGGGGTCGACGCCTCCCCCCGAGCCCACTGTCAGGAGCTGCTGCTTCACGTGCCGCGGAAGCGGCCCCCGGAAAACACGCCCTGCAGGCGGGTTGCGTGTCGTTCCATTCCGCATGGCGGGAGGCCAGGAAAGGCTCGGGCCGTTGAGGCTCAGGGGCTTGGACGTTGTCAGCGTGTCGCGCCGAAGCGTGGTGGGCCAGAACTGGCGGCGCGGCAGGCTAACCAGAAGATCCTGACCCCATCTCTTCCTCTCGTGGCCCCCGATCCTCGTCTTGGTCAGCTGGGCCGCGCCCGACCCTGCTGGGGCGCACGGCGGGCTTCGCCGAGGCCTCCGCGTCCGCCGCCGAAGCCACCGCGCCGGCTGCGCCCTCCCGGCCGCAGGGGCGCGCAACCAGCCCGCCGAGGCACGCGGCGAGCGCCGCGCCCGCGGCCAGGCCCTGCGCGAAGCTGCCCGGGTCCCGCACCCACTGGCCGCCGGGCCCCGCGGCCAGCGCCGGCACAGCTGCCGACGGCGCCGCTAGCTCGCCAGCGGGCGGCGGCAGCGCGGGGGGCGGCAGCGCGGGCGCCACAAGCGCCGCGGGCGCCGCGGGCGCTGGCACGTCGCGCGCTCCACCTGGAGGCGGCACGGCCTGCGACGGGCCACCCTCAGGAGCGGACGCAGCGGCGGGGGGCGCCGGCGCGAGCGCAGGCTCCACGCCCGTGCTCGCTGGAGGCGGCGCGGCCTGCGACGGGCCGCCCTCGGGAGTTGCCGCAGCGGCGGGGGGCGCCGGCGCGGGCGCGAGCGCAGGATCGACGCCCGTGCTCGTCGGAGGCGGTGCGGCCTGCGGCGGGCCGCGCTTGGGCGGCGCTGCAGCGGCGGCGGTGGTGGACCCACGCTCAGCCGTCGGCGGGCGAGAGCCAGCGTGCACGGGCGCGGGCTTAGCACCTGGAGGTGACGCGGGGAACTCGGGCGGGTCGGCGAAGAACACCTGGTTCCGCGCGTCGTGTGAGTGCGAAATGACCAAGCCCCTCGGCTTGCAGGTCGCCGACCGCCACGGCTTCTCCCCTCTGCACTCTCTGCCACCCCTTTCGTGGCCCTTGGTGAAGGTCGCTAGCGTGACGTTGTTGCATTGGAAAGCAGCTTCCTTGCCTTTACTGGGCACCTTCGAGCAGTTTCCATGCTGGACCAGCCACGTGTTCACCACATTCATGTCCGCCAGTTCGTGGGTGCTGCGTATAGGTTTTGTGACCCACTTTTGCTTCATCTGGTGAGTGCTCGGGTCGAGCCAGTCCTCGCTGTCCCACCTAGCGAAAACCCCTGTCAGCAAGGCGAGGGACCCCTGCGACACGCGCATCAGCATTACTCCAGGGTTGAACGAGCAGCCGAACTCCTTGCATCCTGGGCCCGCGCAATCGCAGGTGCCCACGAGGTCGGCGTCCATGATCAGGTCCAGGCTGAGGAGGTGCGGCCACAGATTGCCGACGACGAGCGCGTCAGAGTCGAAGTGGAACGCGTTTTCGCCCGCTCGCAGCCTCTGCTCCATGACCACCCAGATCATGTACTGATATCCGCCGCCGGGCTGTTTGGCATGAGCGGAGTGGCCCGCGCATGCTCCCATTGCACCGCCCGCCCTCCCTGGGCTCCCTGGACCCACCGTCGCCCCTCAGGCGCTCTCCAATGTCTCCTGAATGGCTTCCACGGCGGCACGTGATGGCCGCCCAGACCGAGGAGGAAGCACAGTGTCGCCTCGAGAGGAACTCAACAGCCCGAAAAGGATCCCGAGAGGCGCCCACGAGGCCCCAACCAAGAGCACTCCAAGACGGCCAGGGAGGGCCCCCTGAGCGACCCAAGATTACCCAAGAACATCAAGCCGGCCCAAGAAGGCCTCTAGATGGTAGCGTAGGGCCTCAAGAGACTCCAAGACCGCCGAAGACGTCCACAAGAGACCCCTGGCAACCCAAAAGGGCCTCAAGAGGCCCCAACACGACCGCAGACAACAAAGACTCCCGAAACACTCGCAAACAGCCATCTGGGCTATGGGATGACACGTGCCATATGTCACGGCTGTCTCGCCGCTCACGTCTTGGGGTGTCCGCCCTCCTTTTCCCCCTCCTCTTCGTTCCTCCTCTGTCCTCTTGCTCCTCATCCTCCTCAACCTCCCCGACATCATCATCATCATCATCATCATCATCATCATCATCATCATCATCATCATCAGCAGCATCAGCATCATCAGCAGCATCATCAGCAGCAGCAGCATCATCAACATCATCAACATCATCATCACAATCAGCATCAGCATCAGCATCAGCATCATCATCAATACCATCATCAGCATCAGCAGCATCAGCATCATCATCGTCAACATCAGCAGCATCGTCATCATAATAATAATAACAATAATAATAATAATCATGATCATCATCATCATCATCATCATCATCATCATCATCATCATCATCATCATCATCATCATCATCATCATCATCATCATCATCATCGTTATCAGCATCATCATCAGCAGCAGCAGCCGCAGCATCTTCATCATCAGAGCAGCAGCAGCATTATCGCATCATCAGACGCATCACGATTACCATCATCACCACCATCACCCTCACCATCAACATCACAGTCTCCATCACCATCGTCATCAACAATAACATCATCATCAGCATCATCAGCATCATTCCCGTTATCATCCTCGTCAACCTCATCATCATCAGCAGCATAATTATCAGCATCATCATCGTCATCATCAACGTCCAGCAGCAGCAGCAACATCATCCTCATCATCACTCTCATCCTAATGACCATCATCATCAGCATCCTCATCAGAATCATCATCATCAGGAACAGCAGTACCACCATCATCATCAACGTCATCATCATGTCAAAATCACTGCCACCACCACCATCATCAGCAGCAGCATCGCCAGCATCAACAACAATCAGCCATAGCATCAGCACCACCATCATCAGCCACATCAGGATCATCAACATCCACATCCTCATCCTCAGCATCGTGGTGACCATCATGTTTTTCAGCATCATCGTCCTCGTTATCATCACCATCATCAACATCACCATCATCAACATCATCATCATCATCGGCATCGTCATCGCCGCCATCATCCTCATCCTCATGCTTAGCATCATCATCATCATCAGCATCATCATCATCATCATCGTCACCATCATCATCGTCATCGTCAACATCATCATAAAAACAACATCATGTATTGTATCATCATCCTTGACATCCTCCACCTCATCCTTCTTCTCCTCCTCCTTCTCATCCTCCTTCTCAGCCTCCTCCTCCTCCAATCCCATACCTATAGCATGTCTTCCTCTTGGGTCCAGAACGACGGCTTGAAGTCTTGAGCAGACGCGCGTGAGATAACCGCCGTCGGGTCCCGTGAAGTTCGCGCGGATCCAATTGTGGTTTTGGCGTCTGCTCCCAAGGATCCGAATTCCGTCCGCACGGATCCGATTTCGGATTTGCTGGATCCGTTTCTGCTTTATTTGCTACAGCGGATCCGATTTCTACCCCGTTTAGATTCAAATTATTGAACTAAAACGGGGAACCGGACCCCAGAACCCGCCCGTGTTATGATGCTGCGGGGGAAAGGGGGTTCGGTCATGAACTTCCAACTCATTATCGCTATTTGCACCTGAAGAAGACAACTTTTCGCCCTGCGGAAGTCCGTATCGTCCAAGCGTCTCCTGACCCAACAGACTGCCTGCGAGATGTTGGGTGTCGGCTATGTGGTAACCGACAAATCCGAAGACCAAAACACCCAGTGCGTTTCAGCCCCTCGTCTCCTGACCCAACAGACTGCCTGTGAGATGTGGTGTGCCAGCTATGTGGTAACCAACAAATCCGAAAACCAAAACGCCCAGTGCGTTTCGGCCCTGCGTCTCCTGACCCAACACACTGCCTGCGAGATGTAAAATGTCAACTATGTGGTGCCCGACGAATCCGAGGACCAAAACGCCCACTGCGTTTCGGCCCTGCGTCAGCTGTCCCAACAGATTGCCTGTGATATGTGGTGTGTCAGTTATGAGGTAATCAACAACTCCGAAGGCCAAAACGCCCAGTGCGTCTCGGCCCTGCGTCTCCTGACCCAACAGATTGCCTGTGAGATGTGGTGCGTCGACTATGTGCCAACCGACAAGTCCGAAGACCAAAACGGCCAGTGCGTTTCGGCCCTGCGTCTCCTGACCCAACAGACTGCCTGTGAGATGTGGTGTGTCGGTTATATGGTAACCGACAAGTCCGAAAACCAAAACGCCCAGTGCAATTCGGCCCTGCGCCACCTGAACCAACAGACTGCCCCTGAGATGTGGTTTGTCGGCTATGTGGCAACCGACAAGTCCGAAGGCCAAAACGCCCAGTGCGTCTCGGCCCTGCGACGCCTGACCCACCAGGCTAGACTGCCTGCGATATGTGGTGTTTCGGCTATGTGATAACCGACAAGTCCGAAGACCAAAACGCCCAGTGTGTCTCGGCCCTGCGTCTCCTGACCCAAAAGACTGCCTGTGAGATGTGGTGTGTCAGCTATGTGGTAACCAACAAGTCCGAAGGCCAAAACGCCAGTACGTCTCGGCCCTGCGTCTCCTGACCCAACAGATTGCCTGTGAGATGTGATGTGTCGGCTATGTGGCAACCGACAAGTCCGAAGACCAAAACGCCCAATGCGTTTCGGCCCTGCGTACCCTGACCCAACAGATTGCCTGTGAGATGTGGTGTCAACTACATGGTAACCAACAAGTCCGAAGGCCAAAACGCCCAGTGCGTCTCGGCCCGGCGTCGCCTGACCCAACAGACTGCCTGTGAGATGTGGTGTGTCGGCTATGTAATAACCGACAAGTCCGAAGACCAAAACGCCCAGTGCGTTTCGGCCCTGCGTCACCTGAACCAACAGACTGCTTGTGAGGCGTGTGTCGGCTTTGTGATAACCGACAAGTCCGAAGGCCAAAACGTCCATTTCCAGGACGAAAGTTTTTCGTCTTTGGCCCAGAACGACGGCTTGAAGTCTTGAGCAGACGCGCGTGAGATAACCGCCGTCGGGTCCCGTGAAGTTCGCGCGGATCCAATTGTGGTTTTGGCGTTTGCTTCGGTGGATCCGAATTCCGTCCGCACAAATCCGATTTCGGATTTGCTGGATCAGTGTTCGGCCTTATTTGTTACGGCGGATCCGATTTTCATTCCGTTTTCAATGTGTATTATTGGATCAAAACAGGAAGCCGGAAGGAAATCGGATCCGCGGACCCCGGAACCCGCCCGTGTTATGATTCTACGGGGGAAGGGGGTTCGGTCATTAACTTCCGTATAATCAATCATCGCCATCTGCACCTCAATAGGAGAATTGTTCGTCCTGCGTAAGTATCCTGCCCTGTTTCCTGCTGCACATGATTCACGTGCGAGAAATTACCAAAAGACGCACCTAGCTCATCTGCAAAACAATGGATCAATGGCGGGGGCCCTCGACAAAGTGAAACCATGCGGTGCACGCTACACGGTGCAAGCTACATAATGTTGTGCACACGGTGAGTTCGACGCGGTGCGGCCTACATGGTGGTGCAACCTATGTGTGCGTCGCATGGGGCGCAAGCCATGTGATGTGATCTCTGCAGTGCCAGGCGGCGCAATCTACACGGTACCAGCTTCTCAGCGGAATTAATGAGACGCGAACTATACGGCGCAGCTAATAAACGCAGCTAATCAAACGCGAACCCAGTGGTGCACTCTATGAGCTGGGCTCCAAGTGCTGTATGTGGTGCACGCTGAGTGACGCACGCTGTGCGGTGGAAGCAGTGTAGAGCATTGCATTAAGTACGAGGCACCAGGCACCAGTGCCATCTAGGTGGTGCGACCTATGCAATATAAGCAACGTGTGGGAAGACTCTGCCAGCGTGGGTTCCACACAATGGATCATTGAACTCAGGGTATACAAGCTATGTAGCGCACGCTCTATGGTGCAAGCGATGTGGTGTAAGCTATGCGGCTAACGCTATATGGTGCAAGGTGTGTGGTGGAAACTGTTGTGCAACCGTATGTGGTGCAAGCTGCTTGGTGCAAACTATATGGAGCAAGCTATAAGGTGCAATTAAAGGTTGTCAACTCATGAAGTGTCAACTCCGGTGCACACGCTATCAGCCCACCATCCCATCCGCAACTTGATTTACAAAACCCATGCGGCCGCGATTACGATGACTGCCTGGGCCCGAGTGGCGCATCTCTGCGGCCGCGCTGGCGCGCACAAGCTCGCGCGCAGAGGGTCAGCTGGTTTGGCACAGTCGATGCGGCCGCGATGACGCTTACCGTTGGAAACTTCCCGCCACGTGTTAAAGGCATTGCTCGCAGGCACTTCAATGCGTGTCAGTGACTCGGGCGAGCGCGGTATCATGATGACGTCGGCAACGGACGCATCAATGATAATAGTAGCGATAGTAGCGGCGATAATGACGATGACGACAGCAAGGCCAACGACGGCGCGGAGATGCTAATGTCCATGCGTCGGTGATGAAGGTGCTTGAGTGATAATGGCGGTAGTGGCGGTGATTGCCGAAGACGGTGACGTGATGTGGCGTCGCTGGTGCGAACCATGGCGAGAAAGTGCGCGCACGCGAAA